ATGAAGAGGATTTTTTCCTCTATAAATGGTAGAAGATTGTGTAGACTGCTAAGCCATCGGCGCCGCATCATAATATCAATCTTAATTCTTTATATCAACTTGATTTCTCTTATTGTTTTCTTTTCCATAAACTTTTTATTAAACACAATTATGAAAAAGTTGTGATGCTAAAATGTTAAATTAACAGATTTTGACGATTTGCAAATAATTTAAAATCCATAATTAATTGCAAACCCTGCAAAGACAACGTGTGGTGATGAAACTGGAAGTTTGTCTTTCTATGAAAAATATCTGCTCAATTTAAATGTTAAAATTAGGGCAAAACACTGAAAATTAGGTAAATGAGCAACGGGTTAGTAACATGACTCGTTATTAATTCGGCATTTAAGAGAAAGGCTGAGTCTATCAGAAGGAAAGATGGGGAGTGTTTGACTCTCTGTGAGGGACTGCGAGACCACATGGTTGAACTATTTTAGATTAGTGATCGTGGTGTAAAATTCATTACTTAGTACCTAATATACAGAGAATCTGGAGAAATCTGTGCAAAAGGCACCAAGCTGTCAGACCAGTACTGGCTGGCCATGATCTTCAGGCCCCTAGGCAGCACTGTCTTAAAATCAGACATGACTCTGCAGTGGGGATCACTGCCTGCATGTGGATGATAATCACTTCCAAAACTGAGTCATGCAAAAAGAAAAACATACATGAACATAATCCATACCTTCTCTGGGCTCAGACTCATTTAAGATTCTGTGGAATGAAAATGCAAGACAATAATTATACACATTCTGCTCATATCAGAGCAGCATGGCTCTGTAGTAGAAGAGTCCTGCTCTGAGTTACACATGTCCCTGTCCAAACTGTTTTAAAACATGGTTGAAAGGGCATTATTTCCCCTGATCGTCACATAAAAAAAGCCATAGAATTTACTTGACAGATTCTCTTCTTTACTGTCATTTTGGGAGACTTTGTTGAATTTCATCTTTGTCTGCGATGAAGTTCAGTTCAGTACATGGCAGAGATTATTTCATCTGACATGAGTGTGACATAAAAACATGCAGGCTGAGAAAAGATCACTGCAAAGACTATTCCAGTGTGAGAGCGGTCTAATACTGTACACAAGCCGACCCCTGCAGAGTCAGTCCAGGAGATTTGCTGACTGTTTAGCTGCTTCCCTCAGTGGCTTTAGATCCTGTGATGGGATTAGGGGGGAGAAGTGTCTGATAGGATGGCACTGAACTCAATACAAGCGCAGGAAAGTCTTTTTTTCCTAAAGGGAGACTGACAACATAGAGAGACACAAATGATACAACTCGAAGGTTGTTGATCTTATTTTAGCTGCTCAAATTAAATGACCAAAAAACATTCTTCTTGTTGTTTTTACCCTTAAGGTCCCCAAATTAAAGGTATAAAGTATGAATCATTTCTTCAATAAGACCCTGATTTTATCATCTCTAGTCTTTGCCGTTTCAATAGAGAACTAGTTTTTCTTGTAATATACTGACACCCTGTGGTAGTTTCTGGTAAGTACAACACCTGTTGCTCTATGTAGAATAAATAACTGCAAAGGATTTCTCCATTACTGCAACTATGCTTGTTTAGCTTTAAACGCTATGTATATTTTTGCAATGAAGAAGCCATTTAAACTCTCGTTTTTTTTTGTTTTTTTTTAGGGGGCTGTTTCAGTGCTTTGCTTTGCTGACAGAAAGCCCATTTGTTTTTGCATTATCATTATTATTATTAAATGAGAAACATCCACAATCTTCTCCTGCAGAGAAGCTCTCCTGACTGACACCTGGTCATGTGAACATGCTTAATTTTGCAAACAGTTATTTGTGTTCATTTCACATGTTTTGTTGTATTTTTCTCAACGAGAACTTGATACTGTGAGTCTGAAATATTGTTCTGTTCAGTTCTCTTGTTGCAACTGTACCACATTTAGTTAGCCCACACCCATTTTATGCTCTGTAGATCTATAACACTATCTGTTACAAGCATTAGTCTGGTTCTGCCCAAGGTTTCTGCCTGTAAAAAGGCAGGTTTCTCTCTCCACTGTGATTAGCTAAATGCTGCAGTGTTTCGCTCATAGGGCCCGATCTACCAAAGGTTTGCAAACTTGATAGCCTGTGCCTAACTTGATGCCTTGATTTCCACAGAGTTAGCAACAGAGTTATGCCTGTTTTTGATGCAGTGTCACCTGAGGCCATGCTCTTTGACCTAATTAATTAGATGCTGTTTTCCCAGGTGTGTTTTTTTTTACCCATCACTTCATTTAGCAGATTTTTGTTGTCCCTTATTCAAAGTGAGGATGTATTTTTCATAAGACTTCAAGTTTTTGGTTTTAAATGTTTGGTATCTTGTCTTTGCACTACTTCCAATCAAACATAGAGTTCAAATGGTTTGCAAATCATCAAATCCAGTTCTCTCAGTATTTTACACAGCGGCAAAACTCTTCTAGGATCAGGGTTGTAAAACACAAATTAAACATTTTAAAAAACTAGATGGTGCCGTAAATTAACTGACTGAAAACTTGCAAAAACTCAAACAGCAATTAAAAAAGTTAAATTTTCCCAGATGACACATTTGGTGAAAACTTCTTTTGTATTTCAAGCATTATTTTTTTTAACAGCATGCGCAAACACAAACAAAAGAAATGCAACAATTAAAACATGCAACATCAATCAAACATGAAGTTGGTCCAGCCAACAAATAATTTCACAAAATACAAAACATAGAAATCGATGATCAAAAACACAACATCAAAACAAACCACACTGTGTAAAATGAACACAAACGAACTTTGGGATTAACTGAAGTGTGCGGTAGTTGTTACAGTACAGGACCAGCAGATGGAGGCAAACAGTGTGAGATTGTAAACATGGACATTAAGACGTGGAACAAAGAACAACACCTATCCCCTCATATAAAAATGTACACTGTACAATGAAAAGTTATGATCACAGCTGACTGGATGGGATAATAAATCAGCTCCTAAAACAACAACATTTGATACCATGAGACAGAATAAAGAAGTAAAAAAGGAAACACTGAGAGCAACCAGCTGTAATTACTGTGTTAGGGTTTGACCAAAAGGCACATCATACTGCCAACAATAAAAATAATGTTCTGTTAGTACGCTCCGCAGAAAGTCAGTCATGCCCGGGACATTTTCAACCTGCCACATTGTTCTTGTAGACACTCCAAAACACATTTCTAAAATCAATAGTTTCTCTTTTATTCTTCAGTTAAATAAAATACCAACTCAGGCCCCAAAACATCACAACATATCAGGGAGAAAGAGGGTCACCTAGAAGGATTTCCAACCAGCACGATGACTAAGAGACATGTTAGGTGAACAAAATCACATGAGGCAAGGTAAATCAGAGTAATATCAAAGCACATCAACATGTCTGCTGAAGTAAACCATAAATGACGAGAATAGAGAACCCTCTTTCGTCCTGCGCTGGTACAAAGGCAAACACACGTTTGAATACTGCATGAAACCGAGGTGTTGTTTCAGTAAATAAACGTTAAAGGATGAGAATACTGGTCTGTATGATGTCCTCTTATCAACAGGACTTCCACATATCTCATGTCAAAGTGTCTTAACACTTATTTGTCTGCTGGAAATCTTGAGCTGTACCAAGTATTCAGCAGTCAGTGCATCGGATTACAGCCAAATACTTAGCACATACAGTACACTCTGTAAAAGTCAAGTAAAGTCAAATCCTTTACCATTTATAGTTCCAAGATGCTCCTGTTTGTTTGACACAGTCTGTATAAAAAGATGGATGAGACATCAGCTCTCCAAAGTGAAGCCACACCACTTAGAGCTCCTCCTACTGGCTTACTGCAGTATAGGCCATAAGCCCCGCCTCCCTCCAGTTAAAATATGAAACATGGGTCCAACAAAAAAAAAATTAAATGATTTTTTTCAAATCTAATTTATGTTCTGATCTCTTCTACACGGACTCTGGCTCCAAATGTGCAAAAAGAAAGCACCAGACCACGGTTTTGGTTCCCTTTAGAAGAACAGAGAGATGTAGACATATTGTTAATCTTTGTACACAGTTAATGGTCACACACGCTGTTGAAGATTCATGTGATTGAAGGCCATTATGTCATGTATCGCTCTCAGTCTGTTAGCTCAGTAACATAATTAAAAACACAAGAAGTTAATTCAAGTTGAGCACAAATAATAAGTACAGTACGCAAAGAGGTCGAAAAGAATGAACCCACGTGAACTCCGTGCTACTGCAGTAAGTACAGAAAGAATAGGTAGTGTGTATGAAGGTTCTCAGTCTCTACAGGTGCTCCTCTGTGCCTACCGTCTGACCGGGCTCGCTGGCTGTGGCCCCTTGACCTCACTGTGGGCTCGTACAGTAGACACAGTCTGGTGAAACTACATCACAGTGTCAAGGCATAGCATGGCTCATCATGGCAGAAAACAGGACGTCGCCCCTGATGGTGATAAAGAGATCAAGAGCCTGCACAGGAAAACAACAAATACTCGTGTGGTAGTTTCAGTAGCGCTAGAAAAATGGGAAATGACATGTGACTTAAGGGGGGGGATTTCTGTTAAGGAAGGCAGCATGAGAATGAAACAATGACGCCAAGTCTTAGTCGAGTTGAATCCAGCAAACAATTCCAGAAGTTGGTCAAAACTTGGCGCGAATCCTCCGTGGTCCATGAGTCCAGACATGCCTCATCATGTCTCATTTTAAAAAGGTCCAGCATGTAATGTTTGTTTTCTTCTCCTCTTTCTGTTGCATTGTCCTCACACGGTAAACTGCAGGAAATCGAACTCTGAACTCAGGCTGCGAGCCGTAGAAACCATCCTGTCATTCAGAAATCTCTGTTTGCCCTCTCTTAGTTTCAGTTTAGCAAGACTGTCTCTCTGCTGTGCACCCTCGGGGACTTCCATGGGAAGTATTGTGACATCAGGCGGAGCAGGCAGGCAGGGTCAGTGGTGTGACTGGTTACAGGCTGGGGGCGGGGCTTCAGCTGTGGTAGCTGGGCACAGCTGCCTGTTTTTGGGAGAGGCGCAGCAGCTCCTCTCTGATGGCCTTGATGAGGGAGGCAGAGGTGTGGGTAGGAGGGGATGTATCCAGAGGAGGCGGGGCTGACAGGTAGCCCACACCAGGTGTGTCCAGGTGAGCAGAGGGTGCCAAGGGCTCCCTGATGACACTCCTAGGCGTCTGGAACATAGAGGAGGACGAGTAGTCAGGACAGTCCAGGAACTGAAGGCAGGAAGGAGTAAAGACAAAAGGAAGAGAAGAAAGGAGGAAAAATTAACAAGAAAACAGAGAATATGAAGTGAGACAGCATTAAAGAGTCTGCAAGAAGAAAGGAGTTATGAGAGATTTTTTGAGCAGAACAACAACATCAAAGAAAGCCTGTTTGAAACAGCTTCAATATTAAAGCTGCCTAACTCTGCAGTCTCACTGTTAGTCAGCCTTACCTTTTTATGACTAGACTTAAAAAGAACATTTTTGATGACCAAATCTTGCATTACAAAGGAAAACTTAATTGCCAGTAATAATGAGACAAGCACACTGCTTTTATTTTGAAATTAAACTGTCACATTTAAATAGAATAAGATATGATAAAGTGTGTATAACGCACTAATGTTAGTGATATAATACTGTCTGCATTTCAGTCAGGACCACTGTAGTCTAAATTATATTTGGTGATATGCCTGTTTGAAGATTTCCCTGCTTTTTCAAGTACTCATGTGAAATGCTAAAGCCTGTGGCAGGGAGAGCACAGCTGCCCTGTTTTATGTGCATGTATGAAAAGTCAAGGAAGGAAGAGGACCAGCAAAGACCGCTGTGTATAGAATAGAGCAGACATCACTGAAAACCCATGTGAGACTGATAAAAACAGTAAAAAGGAGGCACTGCAGTTACAAGGCAATTTGCAGCTATTTTCAGCCTGATGGTCTTGTTTGCTTTTGTAGACCATGTTCAGACATGAATACTAATTTCAGTCTGTTTATAATCTGCTATAAACCCGCTACAGAAGCTTTAAAGTCACAAGTATATGTACATGTGTAAAGTGGTGGGCGCTGAGGTTTTTAGCATAATACTGAAACTGGATTTACCTGTGCTTATTAGGGAGTGTTTTGAGGCAGATTTTGACATATTTGATAGGGGTGTTACAATACAACATTTTTTACTTCTGATTCGATACAGATATTGTAGCCTTCAGTATTGGCCGATACTGATATTGATCTGATATTTGCACAAATTTGACATGTTTTGCACTTGGCTGCAACAACTTTTTCGGCCTTAAACAAATCACAGCCAATATGACCGACATCACTCCTGCTCCTTGCTAGTTTGTTAGTACCTTAGTGCACCCTGTTGTTGTGATTACGCGGGCACTGTATGCTGATTCCGGGTGCTGCAAGATAGAGGTGCTGAAGTGGAGTCTGGAATGGTGTGCCTGTATCGGAGTGCTGATATCAGGGATTTTAGATGCAGGCCGATATAATCCGGTATTCGTTATTTTGCTAATACCAAATCGATATCCAATATCAATATCATATCGTGACATCCCTGATATTTGGTGCTCTGATGAGTGTTTACATTAGTGTTTGGTTTTGCCATTTTTGGGAGCTTTAAATAAAACATACAAAAACATGTTTATCAGAATTGGATCAGTTCATCTTGCTTTTTGGATTTCCCCCAAAATATGAACACACGTGATACAATGAAACAGTAAACAAATACACATGAAACAGTTGTGCAAAACAGATCTTAAACCTTTGTACTGTGTGAAGTTTGAACAGGTAGAAGAGAAGACTCAATCTTGTAGAAGTGAAACGAGTGATTTTCTCTCTACCTCTTTCTCAGGCTCTGTCCTGGAGAAATTCTCATCATGGTAGTGGTTCCAGCCGATCCCTCCATTCTGGCCTGAAGCAGCCCTGACCCCTGCTGGGTAACCATTCAAGCGACTTGACAATCCCACCTGTGCAAGATGATGGAGCTGGGCACCTGCACGCACACACACACACACAGACACAAACGCATATTACATCAGAGCTACAGGACCTGACACTCAATCCTCAGCAGCTCCTTCCTCAAACTTTGATGCGATCACTCCGGTCTAAGGAGCACTGTGTCTGCTGAGCTGCTCTCTGTATGGCAAATGTCAGACTCCATTTGTATTAGTGTACGTCACATGGCAGGAGCAGCAGCCTCACACTGGCTGCCTGAATAATTTAAGAGATAGACAGGCTCTCTCAGTTTGACAGGTGTATGGACTGGAGGTGTCTAACTCTATGAAGGAACAGTACTGCGGCCCCACATGCAGCTAGTCCCATACAAGTTATCTGATTGGACAAGGGGAATCCCAAAGGTGCTTTTATAGGGTATAAAAGCACAAGGACTCGGATAACACAGAGGGCTTTGGTGGTTATTACCAGTGGTGGACACATTGGAGTAAGAAGAGGAAATGAATGTACCTCATGGTTGAATTCTGGACTTGTGTGCAGATTTGTGGTTGGTTTTTTTCTATGTGTCTGCATGTGCATGATTTCTACATGATGTACCTGTCGTTCCCCCCACAGGCCTCGGTCTTGCAGAAGAGGGGAGCTCGTCAGTGTAGAGTCCCCTGCTGGAAAACAGGCTGTCCGGCTGGATCTGATCACTGAGGCCAGGTGGTTCTCCTGGTGGCAGGTAACTGGAGCCAAGGCCCTGCCTGAAACACAAATGGAGGCGTTTTAGTTTACTTAGCACTGACCTAGTGAAAAATGTTTGGTTCAAAAAAATCTCTTTAACCATCCTCTCAGTTTCTAGCAGTACAGTCTTATGGGAATGATTTGTCAAAATAGGGATACAATTTTTAACCATCTTACATATGCAGACACTGTCATCTTGTCACTCTTAGCGCTGGTTTGCATCGATTACTCAATGCGCTCGACTTATGGTGCACATCATGACATCAACAATAAGAGGAGTGTTATCATGATAGTAAAAACAAAAGGGAATCAAAGCAATATTTTCTCTCTTTATTTTCAATCCAGTGGTAGTGTTTTTGTATCTAACATGTTTGTTTCCATGCATGACTTTTGAGAAGTTTTTCCACAACTTTTTATGATTTCTTTCACTTTTTGTGTTAAAATATTGCCTTGAAACTGTTAAAATGCAGTTGAAATAGTTTTAAGTTACATTTTGTGGTCGTTTTTGACATAAAGCAAAACAGACTAAATTAGACTAAAATCTAATAAAATATCCATGGATGTGTTTAAATTAGCATGAAATTACCCCTTTTTTTTTTTTTTTCGTGGCGTTTCTAATTGGAGTCTCACAACAAGATATCTCTCCATATTCTCATTTCTACATGATGTACCTTAAAAGATTTTATATTTACAGAGTCCAACCAAGTGACGCCTGCCTCTCTTGCTCTTATACAACAGCAATTAAAACACCACTGATAATGATTCACTTTTAAAATAGATGGCAAATAAAGAGATATGCTAGGAAATGAGATTCTGCTTTCAGAGAGATAGCAATAGATTTCACACAAACATGTAGTTACATGTAAGGATTTTTAAAAGAGGTTTCAAAGAATACAAATATGAATCAAAGGAAAGCCAGGGCAGACTCTTTAATAAGAGTACATTTTTAAAAGGGTTTTTATTCTGCGGTTGAAGTCGCTGGACCACTGATAACTTTCGCTCTGATTCTTAGAAAACCAACTGAGCTCATGAAAAATGTCCATTGTGCGTATCTGTGTTTTAACATAGGCATGTATGAGTGCCTCAGTCCTTTGGAGACAGTTAAGGGACCTCTGCCTGGAGCTGATCCATTAAACCAATAAAATAAAGATGACTGGTTTCATTATTCACGAGGTCGACTCACTGGATGCATTCGAAGGAAAAACATTCCTGCTGGTTAAGTGCCATGAACTTCGTCTCTGCTGATCAATTAGAGATCGTTTCGGTATAGGAGGGAGTGAACGTCATTTAAGCACTTTACTTATTAATTCATACATGGATATTCAATTTTCCATCGACCGGTCTACCAACCTTGGTGTCAGGCCTGGGACAGAAGTGGGGGGCATGCCCAGCTCAGTGAATCTCTGGAGAGAACAAAGAAGAACAAGAAATGAGACGTTAATCAAGAAAAGTATAGTGCAAAAATAATGAGTGTGAATAAACATTTACAGTGAAGCGACATTCTCAGTATACAATAAAACCATCTCAAAATTCAGTATTACACTAAGCTACACACAGGATCCAGGATTATACTTACTTAAGTACCTTTACTTCTCATATTGATATTACCGCATCAATGTTTGCAGGTATATGCAGGTATGAAGGGGATGTTTTTATTCTGTAGAATGGATACTATTAAATCACTCTTCACTTCTATTATATTTTAAACTAATAACTGTCTGAAATTATCGTCTCCAACTCTTCAATATTTCAAAATCTCTGTCAGAGTTATTATGTTACATTGGGTGCGATCCTATCAGGTGCAAACAGTTAAGTGTAAAATTCAATAAAAGGTGCATAAAATAATAAATAGATAAGTCTTCAGAGTTCCTACACAGTTGAAATTTCCATACTTTTCCATACCCTACCTTTTAGATTTCTTTTTTGGAAATACCTACTTTTCTATTTTAGAAAACAGTATTTTAGAACTGTGGTAAGAATCTGGAAACATAAATAATTTCCCATACTTTATTTTTCATTTTCCATACTTTTTAAGACCTGGGAATGGATCAAATTTATTTGCATACTTTACATACTTGCGTAGGAACCCTGAGTCTTCATATTGTCTTCATAATGCAGAAATTCTTTGGAAAAGTAAACCAAAACTGTATATAAAATATTCTGGGAGTACTTTATGTTTGGTATTAACCAGCCTTGTTTTTCCCCAAGTAGGTTCTCTTGGATATCCTTCACTCTAACAGCTGACCTTTCATAGCACATTAAAGCAGTGAACCTGCAAAAGCCCAACCAGCAAATAGCTTTTATGGCCCCACTGCTCCCTTTGGGTCTCCCTCTATATTTGCCGCCTGGGGTGAATATTCAAGGATTCAGTAGAGATCAATGTTGATAGCTGTAAAATGCACTCAAGCATTGTTCATCAGTTTGCAAAAACAAAACCCATTTACTACAGTGATGATTAGGCTACAGTCAGGGTGGGATTACAAAACTACTAAACACTAAATTTGTTCTTGTCCTGAGAGAGTTGATGACACACTATTGTACCTGCAGGTTTATAATACAGCTAGAAACAGGTCTGATCCGAGTGATTGAATGTGCAGAAATATCTTACACCTTCCTGTAATCCTATTACAGTTCTCTACAATCTTTAGACGGCGTACTATTTCATAACGCCCACCTGCATGAGCTTGAATTCTCACCTAGGTCTCAGCTTAAATATGAAAGATACTAGTCATTTGGCAGTTTTTCCACAGACCTGAATCTATATGTGCAAAGATATTTCAGTGCTTCATCAACATGTTAAAGTATTAAGCATCTCTTATTAAATCAACTTAAGATGAACACAAAAATAATAGAAACCCTGAGCTTATACTTGAAGCGTTAAAAACATTTTAACTAAGCGTAGAGTGGTATAAACGAACACAGGTAAGGGATAAATCCGTGTCCAGTCTTTGAACTGCAGGTAGCTGACAGGACAGGAGGGTTAAAGGTTGCAGCTCCATTGGGGGTGACAGATGGAGGATACTTAACTGATTAGGTTGCTAAGTGGACATGATTAAACTTGGAGCTGTGGGCTTCATGCTGTTAATAAGCTGTGAAAAAAAAAAAAAACTTGAGAAAGGAAGGAGATAGTGAAGACACGGGATTTAACAAGGGTCTTTTAACTACTCATGATGATTCCGAAACAAACAGGGGGCTTATTTCTGTTGGTCTGTCTCTATATTGCTCAAACTGACGGATGCATGCCAGAGTATGTTCTTCTGCTGCAGTATGAAGGTGCAGAAGCCTTTTCTGATTACACTGATGGGGGCAGGACACCGAGATGCTGACCACTTTCTCTAAACAGATTGTAAACATGCATTGAAAGTTTGTAATTCAAGGGCAATATTTAGGAGTCTGGGTTTTTGTTTCTGTTTGCAGGTTTTGGTTGTGTGCAGGAAAAACAGTCTATATCGTGAGCATGTGCACTTCATAATAATCCTGTAGATCTAAATGCCAAATGTGGTTACTCACTCCAGTGAAAGGACCGAGAGCTTGGTACGAAGGACCCCAAGGTCTGGGACCACGTCCAGGAGGGCTTGAGCCAGACTGGTTGTTGTTGTTGACCCCTGGGAGAGTGATCCCCGCCGTGCTGCCCTGAGAGGTGGGTGACACGAGGGCAAAGGCGTCATCCAGCAGAGAGTGCATCTGCTGCCGGGCCTCCTCGATGGAGGGCTGTGGGGGCATGTAGGGCGGTGGGGGAGGGGCGTGGCCTGGAGGAGAGGAAGCGGGACCGAGGAAGACATCGTCGGTGGGGGAGGGGCTCCTGTGAGGAGATCCTGGGGCTTGGTCAGGATCAGACTGCAATAACAAACAACACATAATGCACTGTTGGAGTTGTAGAGATTAGAGAGTAAATGGCTTAAAAGTAATGGGACAGAATACGGCAAGTCTGTGAGTCCATGAACATAACAATGTTTATAACTCTTCTATATAATAAAGATACAAAATTATGATTCAAAAACCCGAATTTTACGTCACTGACTTGATTTGAAAATGTTGTTATGTTATGATCATATTATATTGGGTCATATTCTTTCATAATGTATCATGTTATATTGTGTTGTATCATGTTTGCCTGGCAGTCTCTTTCCCTGGTCTGCAATCAAAGCTGTGACCCGAGCACTACTACTCTTTTTAGCAACCTTCTGCTTGGCCAATTACAATAGTGAGTCTGCCCAATGCAGCTGTGGATAAAATAGCGTAGAAGTGGTCTGACTACTGTGCGCTACTCACCACATAGGCCACATTGTTGACTCCAGGACACTTCCTGTAGGCGGCATCACTGTCCTCTGTGATGAGCTGATCTTTGTCTGCCTCCATCATGCCTCCATTTAACTGCTCCTTCATCCTCTGTTTGGGAGAGCGCCTCCCTCGAACACTGAGGAAAGATATTAAAAAATGATGACTTTCAACAATGAAAAAGTTTTGTTTTTTTAACCTAAAGTCAGGATAATAAAACAGCTACATGTCTGACAAAACGGAGCCCTGACCTTTTCTTGGAGTGCATGAAGATGGCTGGCATCTGAGCTTCCGGGTCCAGTATCTTATCAATCTGAAACTGAGCTTTCTGATAGATGTGATCTTGGTCTTTTGCGTCTGTAAGGCCACCGTTCACGTCGTCCATGGTGGGGAAGTCATAGTGGCCCTTCCTCTTGGCGCGCAGGCGGATCTTGTTGCGATGATGTTCGATCTCTGATTTGTGCCTCAGTGCTACCTGAATCTGGAGAAATGGGACTTTGTCAGACAAAAGCTTGAAAATCTGACCTGTGTACTTTCTGATAAACAGTTCTTGTTGGTTTCTACTAATGTAACACCCCACTACAGTTACTTCATGTCATATGTGTACAGTGGTAATAGCATTTTATTTTGCAAGCCAACTGTTAGTTTTCTTGCTTTGAATCTACAACAGGGGCAGAATTTAAAAAAAGGGGAAAAAAGGAAAATCTGAGTATGAAGAGTATGAAAACAAAAGTCTTATTTTTATTATTAGTTATTAGTTATTATTATTATTAGTCTTATTAAATATATTGAAAAATTAAGTTGGAAAATCCAGTCATGATATCATCACTAGCCACTCCCCTTTTGAAGTGGGGTCAACTAACTGGCAGCTGCACAGAATTACGATTTTCTTCTTATCAATAATTGACCTTATCTTTCAAACATGAAACCCAGACTCTTGAACTGTAGCTTTGTTTTGGCTCAGTTATGACTTTTCCTTTTAAATTTGCAAGTTTCCTTCTATGACTTAATTTTCATAATTTTACTTCTTTATTCCGAGTTAATTTTATTTTAATTAAAACATTTTCTTTGTGTCAGAACCTTAAAAGATGGCTGAAAGTGTCTAACATTAGTCATATCCTCGAGATTACACAAGAAACAGAGGCGCAGCTTGATTCGATATCGAAATTTTAACTGCAATTAAAAAAAAAAAAGATGACGCCTTCATATTTTTCAAACAAATAACTCTGGAATAAAAGAGAAAAAACCCTTAGGAGGTATTCATAATCAGGGGTCAATGTTATTTTTGAAGACTAATCTTTGAGGCATTATGAACGAAACTCAAGTTTCTTTTAACTGTTTTAGGAATAATTAATCACCTTTACAACCAAACTAACTTGTTGCGCCCATTTGTTTTTTAAAAAGATGTAATATCTTGGTGACTTTATTTAAGAAATACATGTCCTCGTGCTGCTTAAGTTCCACAAAGCCTGCAAACGTGTTTTGGAAATAAACAAAAACATTGTATTTGTACTCAAGTTTATCCTATTTGCCAGGGAGGGCAGTCTTTTCCAAAAGTGGTGAGTCAAACAAACCTCTTTGTTGATCTGGTTGGTGTTGGACAGTTTTCCGTTGATGGGGGGGCTGCGCAGAGGGGGGATAGGCATAGGCTGCATGGCGATCAGCTGCACTTTGTTGGGGAGTCTCCTGCTGGCCTCTGTGGCTCGAGACATCCGATCAACATGTTCAAAGATGGACGCCGAGGACACGTGCTCGTTTGTACCGTTCATTGGAGGAGGACCTGGGGAGAGGGTTAAGAAAAAGAGGCTGTTATGCAGTCCAAACAAGGTCGCTACGAGTCCATAAGCAAGTGTTGAAATAAATTAGGGGATGGAGGAGAGGTGGTTAATGTCTAAAGGTGATATAACTACATCTGAAACACGAGGTGTAAAAAAAGCCCAGGGTTAACATTTCCGGTGGGAACATGAAATGAACTCTGACTCTTTTTCTAACAGCTTAACTTCATTTCAAACAATGGCTCAGCCTTTGTTTGACGGTCTCTTCAGTGTGACTGACAGCTGAGCAGACAGTGATGGATGGTGTGAACAGGCTGAGCACAAAGCCAGCAGAGACAAACAGACTGACAGACAGACAGACAGAAAGCACACAGACACAGCTGCTGGAGGTCAGACCTGAGGTCTACAGAGACACAGACAGAGAGAAGACAAACTCTTACCGATTCTATTCTTGCCTGGAAACCACAACAGAGAGAAGAAAGAGTTTTACTGAAGTGAAAGAGGTCAAATAAAAACAGCAGAGAAAAGAAGTAGGTACAGTATGTTTACAATGAAAATAAAGAGCCTAAAACCAAGACTGCAGCTTCGACATTGTGAAGAAGAAAAATAAAGATGGGAGGAAGAGAGAGAGAGGGAGAGAGGGAAGGCAAATGAGTCATTCCCGGCTGATGAAAGCTTCTCTTCTGCTCGTGTGAACTTCAGAAATCAGACAAACGAAAAAAAGGGAAGAAAACACTGATGCAAACACAGACAGAGAGAGATGAAAGTAAGACAAAAAATTAAAATTTCTGTTTCTCTCCTGCAGAAAACTTTTGAGCATTTAGCCTCATTTACCAAACAAAGCTCGATGTTTAATTAGAAAAACTGGTTCATGAAGTCACTTATTCATTCGTATCACTCTGTTTATTTCTCTCCTTTTTTATTTCGTGTCTTTCACCACCTGATCATACCAGCCAGATGTACCCTGAGCTCTACTAACCAATCCTTTTTTCTGCTCACAAACTTTAAACCAGTTCTCCTCTCTGCTCCAGCTCTGACTGCTGCAACCCCCCTCCACCACACATCACCAGGGTCTCTGCCACCACTACCACTGTCTACTCTGACCAATACCAAAGTTTTTCTTAAAAATCTCTTCACTTTATGTTAACACAAACTTGGTTCACAGTTACCATGACAGTGGCAAAGAAACCCAGGCACTCTACCCACATCTAAGAACAGTTACCTTCTCAGTTTGGGAGATTTTTGGACTTTGGAAAGAGGACAAGGTATTTCTTGTAAATATCATGTAAATATCACCTCAATATTGTTCTTGTGAATCTTTTTGGACACCACAATCATGAGGTAAAAATGTGATATTGAGACAGCCTTAGTCTGTGTATTATTTAACACTGTAAATAAGTACAAATTTTAACATGATGTACTTTTCAGTCAGTGAAGTAACAATGTGTATGGCTGCCAACTGCCTGAAAGTAAGCTATACACACAACTTTTATACACGTTAACAATAACATCATCTCACTCACAGATAATCAACTCATGGTTTTATTTCAGTTTTTGTTTGTTTGTTTCATAGCTGCAGTGCTGAGAAAAAAAAGACTGTGTCATTATTTAAAAAAAATGAAATAGAGTTGGTGTCACTGTTTCTGATGATCCTCGCCTCCAGTGTCAGCTTCAAATCTGTTGGTGGGATTTTTTTATGTCTTGTACCGAGGCTGTTAGTTTTAATACTTTGTGTAATTCTTTGCACTTCTGAGAGGTCTTTGTGAATCTTACAAAATCATGTTTTTTATTCTCAATATTCACAAAGAGATTACAAAGGAATATATTTCAGATTTTTGTGGATTTTCACGCCTCATACGACTATGAGAGGGTAGGAAACTAGAGGGAAAGAGAGAGAAGGACTGGGTGGAGCTTTGCAGCAAAGGGCTGCAGGTTGTTTTTGATCTGCTCCATGGACTTCAGCATATAGCTGCTGTAACCGGTGCCCCAGTCTTGTGTTATTTTATGGGCTCCAGAGGAGTTTTTTTCTTTACAAATAATAATAAATGACAACTTTAAATTGCGTAGCATTCTCTCATTTGAGAACACAGGGGTGAAAAATCCTGCAGCGTAGGAAAGGATTCATGGATCTGCCCACGACTATTCTTTAGGACTTTTTCGAGAGCTTATTCAAGAAAAGAAATGGGGCAGATATCAGTGAATGAGGCCCGCTGTTGCCGAGCGTTTGCAGTCCCAGTCAGAGATTTATCAATAAGAAAACAGAGACCATTCCTCTGAGGGTGAGTCAGCCTGCAGTCTGCTCGCCTGGCTGCCTCTAGCTCCAGTACGTATCGCTTTGCAGGCTTGAATCTATCAACAAGCTGTCCGATAGAGTAACTTCAGTTATCTTTACTCTTTTTTTTCTCTCTCTCTCTTTCCGCTCTCTGAACTAGTTTCCACCACTGAATAGAGTTCAAACAGGGCCCTACTTTTTCTGTCCTCCTCTCTGATCTTTATGTCCCTGCTTCGGTTGATGCTGCACTTCCTTCAGTCTTCTTCTCGCTTTTGTATGTTTTTTTCAGCATTACAGTCTCTGCTGCTCTGAACTCCACTCTCCTGTTGATCACACGCTCGCTTGAGTTGTTCCTTTTTATCTGTCCTGTCCCCTCGGTTTCCTCCCTCCCTTCCCCCCTTGTGCTCGCTCTCTCTGTTTGGGGAAATGATGTGTGCGTTGCCAAGGCTACTCACCGTTTAAAACATTGATGGGCACTTTGCGGGTCTGCTTGCTGTCGTTGGGCGTGGCGTGGCCTCTCAGGTTCTCCTCATTTGATTCTCGCTCACTTGAATGATCACTCACCACCGAGTCACCGTCTGAGGGCGAGATCCTGCCCCGAAAAAAACACATAGACATGAATAATAGAAGAAAAAGGACACACTCACATCTTGAATTGCCATGCATAAATACGAATAGTGATTTCCCAGAAAGGTAGAAGCCTGGGGGGGTTGGGAGGGGGTTCCTTAAAGAAAAGGTCACATGACTTACATCTCGTAGTTGTAAATAAATAAGAATGTTTACAGCAAGACGATTAAATTCCTGATGAATTGAACCTGCCAGCTGTCATATGAGGACATACAACTCATAATACTTTAAATTTTTTGTCTTTTTCTGTTTGCTAAAGCATGAGGCAGGGAATTGGGAATGGTGTTAAAGTTCCTCAAGAAAAAAAAAAATCATAAAAAAACAGGAAAATCGGGGCGCACAGATGGCCGAACAGGTTAGCACGCCCCACCTATAGGTCGCTGGTTTGAGTCCGGCCCCGACCATGTGCTGCATGTCCTCCCCCCTTTCTCTCTATCCCCCCATACTTCCAACCTGTCATATCTATAAAGGCAAAAATTCCCCCCCAAAAAATTAATAAAATAAAAATGAAAATGAAAAAAAAATATCACAACACCATCACATTTTACTGAAGAGTTTTAGAGGCCAGGGACAGGGATGAATAAATACCTGGAGGAGGATATTTTTGTCATTATGCAAACCGAAAATGGTGAAAGTCTAACTGAACTGTACTACAGAGTACTGGAGCCAATTTTTAATTGAATTAGGACTTTTTTCTATAAATTTCATTTAAACTTTTTTTTCAAAGTTTCTGATGAAAAACATCTTCCACTTTTCCCTTTTTTTTATCCCTGGACCTTTCACTCTATGTAAATACAGATAAACATTGAAAATATAACAGGATTTGGCTGTTTTTTAATTTTATTTGATTCTTTTCCTCTTTTTCCTTTATTGTGGCATTTCAGTTGGCTTATTTAAGACATACTTAGGTCATAATTTACCTTTCTCTCCTCCTGCTGCTGCGTGAAGCCTTGGTAGAGTTCACTGAAGCTTTGGAGACCGGGGTTGGGATTTCTCCATTCTCAGATGGGCTGAAGCCGTCTTTAATGGACGTGGGCAGTGGTCCAGGGCCCGGCCCCGGCGGGACAGACTCCTGGATCACCATGACATCATCTTTACTCTGCTGGCCCAGGTGCAGCTTGGCAAAGTCAAAGCCTTTCACACTTGGAGCCTGCAGCTGAGGACGGGAGCAGAGATGGAAATAAAGAAGGAAAGAAGTGGAAGTCAGACAGAGAGAGAGAGAGCGAGCGAGAGAGGGAGAAAATATTAACTCTACAGTAAATAAATGAATGATTTATGGTCAAGACAGGAAATAAGGGAGTTTATTCAATAATTTAACTTTTATTATCTTGAGGCGACCATAGATGACAACTGAGGTTTACTTTCAAAGCTTACTATTGACTTTAGTATCAGTCAGCACTGCATAGCTCTAAAAGGCCAGTGTGATTAGAAGTTAAACTAAGATTTTGCAGATTTTCTTTGAGACAAAATAAATTACCATAAAACTTTAATTAGCAGCCTGGGCTTTTGTTTGTTTCAATCTTCAAACTTGCCTTGGCTTTTTTTTGGGACATGCTTTCAATTATCTTTGAACATACATGAGTTTTTGTTGTTTTTTGGGGCCTTTATTTCTATCCTTCAAGCCTCTTACTATGTTAATGTCATGCTTTGTGCACTGTGGATTGATTTGTGCATATGCTCAGATTGTTAACCCTCCTTCTTCACCTCAACTCCAGTCAGCAGTTTTGCCATCTTTCTTGGGCATAAACTGAAGTTGAACTTTTGTGTTTTGTAATCTTAAAAGATAAGCGTCTTCCTGCATTTTGTTGTTGTGAAAATTTTGCAGTCTTGCTGCATCTAGCTTGCTGTTTTCCCCATGCTGACAAAGAGGAGGTACAGTAAACATGACGTGTCGCATTTCAGTGAAGTTTAAAAAACAAAACAGGCGAATCATAGTGGACAGACCAGATCAACAATTAAGGTGCATGGGCACCTAAATGAAACACTCACACTGCCACTAAAAGGGGACCATACTTTTAATTTGGATAGGCTTCTATCAGAAGATTTACAGTAATTGGTCGAGGCTTTTACTGGGACAGTGGCCAATACTCTGATTTCTTGGAGCCCAGATATCTGATACCTTTATGACTGATCAATGTGAAGTTTCTTCTGAAACATAAACACATGCAAAAGTGCTACAAACATTTCCTGAAGTTTTTTCTTTATCATAAAGGAAAAAAACTGAAATTTTAAGAATTAACAAGCTGAGATCTAAGTGTGCAGCGAGGTCAGACTAAGTTTTGAGGGTTTTTTTTATCAGGCTGAGAAGCAAACAAACGGTGTCCAGGAGCCAGACCCAGACAGATATTAATGAATAAAGAAGTGCAGGGGTGGGGGCTTTCCTCTGAGGTGGAGCAGGATGGAGGCTGAGACTATCTGAGGAGTGAACAGAGAGTGGCACATCTCATTATGCGACACTGAAACTTATATACAGGAGAGAGTTTACACATTTGTGTTAACTCTCCAAATTATTCAAACACTTACACGGACTTAATTGTTGCAAAACGCCCGGCTTAGAAAAAGCTAATCTGCTATGATGCTTGCCAACGTAAAAGGGCTTAACCAGAGAGGCAGAGAAAGAGTGTGTGTTCATGTTTGTGCACGCTGCTCTCAGGCATATAAACAAGGCCAGTCATTGAGTGTGAAAGCTGAGAAAAAAAGCTGCAGCTGAAAAAGTAAAATCTGCATCACTATTATCAAGAGTGAGGCTGGATAAGAGAAAACACACAGCTACTGATATCTCCCACACATTACACACTCTAATTACCACTAAGCTGCAGCTCTAATGGTAAATGAGGGAACACCAGAACACTAATGTAACATCAAATGGCATCTACAGATCCACTACTTCACAGCACAGGGATTTTTTAAACATGGAGGTTATGCACATGCTGGTCAGGGTATGAGGTGGTCACTGCAGTCAACCTGAAACACAAAAAGGGCTTGGAAGCATTGGCTGCTGAATACTCAAAAAAGTCAGAGCTTTTTTTTTATAGACTTGAAAAAAAATAAGGAAAAGAGTGGTAAACTGATAAGAATTTCTTTTTAAATTTAGAGAAGAAAGAAGTAAAGACGGAAGTCATCAGAAAGTAAAGTTGTTGACCTAATGTTCCAAGATAAAAGTCACAATCTAATAAATATAAAGCTGAGGTAAAGTCGTAATCTTATGAGAATAAAGTCATTGTGTTTTGAGAATAAAGTGGTCTGGTTCATGGTGAGTTTCTACTTGGGCTAATCTTATGAGAGGGACCTGGATGCAGACTCAGCAGACGTCTATTAGTGTGTACACTGTTCAAAGTGGCACAGATCTCAGATGTTTAAAGAAATTGAGCAGTCACACTAGTGAAAGACACACTTTGTTGTGTCTTTTTCACAAGCTTTATAAAAAGGCTGTTAAACATTGAAATTTCAAGCAGGGGTATGTGCCAACAGGGGTCTGACTTAGCACGTGCATGACGTACATGATTGAGGGTCTGATCACTTATAAAGTTTGCAATTTATAATATAAAAATTAATTTACTGACTATTAATGTTTTTGAAAACTGGACCAAGAAAAAATTCCATGCTAGTTAGATCACAGTCACCATGTGTCTCATCTAGACGTCAGCACTATCAAAAATGACAGTCATGGATTTATTTTGATCCAAAAACAGTGTCAAAGCTTGTGCCTCTCTGGGTAATTACTCTTCAAAATAAAAGCATAGATCTACAAAGCAGGAAAGAAAGTAACCTAAATGCAAGATGGAAATTTCAAAATAAAAGCATTGCAAAATTGTTCTATCAAGTCTTCTCTCAAAAGTATTTTGTCACAGGGTCAGTGATGTTTATAAATCCAAAATGTCAACATCCTCAGAAACAGCTGATGACATTTAAGCTAACTGCGTTTGTTGGTGTAAGTTCGTGAGGTCAGGTGTTGCTCCACAGTTTTCTTGCTTTTCCTCATTTTGACTAATCCTAACCCTAATTGTGTTGTTTTATTTTCCGATGATATCATTAGGTATTTTATGGACGTGATAATAATAGCTGAAATCTGACTACAATAGTTACATTTTAGACTGTGAGAATGAGAAACAAATATGGATGATCATAAAAACCAAAGTTGGGGGTGGCCTCAGAGCTTTGCAGAAGATTGAACATGTATATGCCTGTGGACCTGATTTCTGTGGCTGTGGTAAATCAGGGGGTGTCTCTGCTCAGTTTGACCACACTTGTTACAGCAGGTATTTGTCAGTTTTCCTCTCATTTTCGTTACAAATGACCAGCCATGTCCATGCCTGCAGGATTGAGGAGGCGGGTTCTAACTGGAAAGCGAGGTCAGTGCATACCCTCCATTCACAAGGATCTAGGACAGGGGTGAGCAATCATGTGCCATGGAGGGCCCATTACCTTACCTCCAAGCAGAGAGCAGGGACTAATCAGTGAAATCACCTGGTGGAGTTTGGGGTTGGAGAGAAAACCTGCAGCCTCTCGGCCCTCAATGGCACATGATTGCTCACCCCTGATCTAGGACTACAAAATCATTCATACTATGTCTAGAAAAACTCCATCCTACTGTCCTTTGGTAGTCTCTACAGCTACTGATCAGTGTACCTCCTCCTTGGCTCTCCTCCCTTTACTCATCACTCTCTTTTTGTCCTCTGTCTTCATCTCTCCTGCTTTTATCATCATCCCTTTGCTCATTTGTCGTTTCAGCTCCACTTGTGTGCCTCCTTTCTTTTTCAACTTCTCCTTTTCTTCATCTGTGTCTTCCTCTTCTTCTTCTTCCTCCACCTCCTCCTCTTCCTCCTCTTCTTCTTCTTCTTCCTCCTCTTCCTCCTCCTCTTCTTCCTCACTGCTCATATTCTGTGTGCTCTTAGGTAGAGCTGCTGGTGTCTGAACAGAAGCAATTGTCGGCATAAATACTTCAAATGATGACGCTGTTCACTCTGGACTATAAACTATTGAACACTTTTTTTTTTCGTCTGTTCATTCACAACATCTACCAAACACCCACACAAACTAGGTCTCCTCTACAGCTTCTAAAACCACCAGACATTTCTCTGTACCTTCCCGACTTTAACCTCCTTCTCCTCCTCCTCCTCCTCCTCCTCTTCTTCTTCTTCTTCTTCATACTCCTCCTCCTCCTCCTCATACTCCCCCTCACTAGACTCTACATCCTTTTTAGTTGGAGTGAGCGTCTGATGCAGAGAGGACCTTGATTCTTCAAAAGCGGTGGTAGACTGAGAGAGGAGGGCGGTGTTAAGTGACAGATGATTGTGTTAAACAGAGAGCAGACTGAGTGGTAGTTATTTCTGTACATGCCTCTGATTGCATTAACCCAGAGTGAAGGGTTCATTTACCAGCTTCAGCTTAAGAAAAACAGCGAACGGAGGAGAAAGAAACCCAGACATCGACAGAAAGATTTACTGGGATGAGGCAGCTGGAACAAACAACCAGCTTGTACATGAAGATAAACCATGTGCTGCTCGTGGGACCCCAAATCCACATGAGACGGGGCCCCATGTAAAATGTTGATAAGATGTATGAGATGATTAAGTCTGTATTAAGATGCAGTCGTGCAAAAACAACATGGCAAATAGTCAAATCAATAATTTGACATCAGCGACACATGTCAAACCATTGTATTGTGCTGCATCACTTCTTCAGCATTAAATTTACAAATGAGTTTATATTTTTCATAATAGATTTTTATTTTCACTTCCAGCATTTGATTTGATTTGTTGTTTTTGCACTATTCACCATTAAACATAGGCTTTAAATGATTTGCAAACCATCAAATTCAGTTTTCATCAATTTATTACTTAATGCCCCACCTCCTCTGGTAATGGGGTTGTACTAAATGATGAAAAAGTAACTCAGATTTGGCTGTGAACTTGATAAAAGTTACCTGTAGTTACCAGTTTCATATCTGTCCATTCCCCTTAGTGCTTTACTATGTTTTTTATTACTTTGACAACAAAATTGACTCTCCATTGTTTTTGTTTTTTAATCTGTTTCTACTTTGAAAAGAGAAATAAACAGATTTGTTATTTAATCAGTTTACTGATTGAAACCACACAACAAGGTTTCTTACAGGGATGCATGATACTACTGGCATGATAGTAGTATCTGAAAATATAGGCTGAAAAAAGTTGTGTGAAAATTTGGAATAACATGAATGGCTGATGGGATGATAGTTGTATTCAGCTCTTACTATGGCAGCATGTCAAGATGCTTTAACCTTTCAGCTGTTAAGAAGGATTCTGAAGTTTTGCAAAAAGACAGACAAATGTCGATCTGTAATGCTTGTAAAGGTCCGGCACCATGATATCTTGGAGTTGAACGAAGCTACAACACAACTTTGCATAAGTATGCTCACTGACATTTACCTGGACCAAAATCAGTCAATGCTATCGGCAAAAATAGCAGAGAGTCCACCACTATCATTTGAGTCTCTTCTTGAGAATAGAAGTTGCATTTTTTATCTTGTTATTGTTCTTACTAAAATGAACTGAAAGAAGAGCAAAAGTCCATTTCATGACGTCTAACCCAACTCCTGCCTTTTCATAAGGCTCCAGATCGGGGTCATTAAACTTTTACTGCCACTTTCTAAAATAAGAAATCATAAAGTCCAGATAGTGAGAAGGCCTCCAGCACATTCATTACAATGACAGATACACCAATTAATAAGAAGTTCATTTGGACTGAAGAGTGAGCTCATCTTCTTGGCTTCTTTTTAACCTTTCTGTGAAACATGTTGGTGGTGATGAGACTGGTGGGTCCAAACAACACTGTGTTCAAAGACTTATGACACAGGTCATATTCCAACTATTGAAACTGTTAAAATACTGTCCAAATAACATCAGAAACAAGAAGAGAGACTTTGTAACCCAGGGTGAACTTTACCTTCTGTCTCTGCTGGATGGAGGTCATGGCATCCGGCTGAAACTCCAGCTTATCAGTCCGACACAGTTTCCAGTACAGGATGGAAATGATAATGATGACCACGATGAGGGGGATCACCACCCCGATGACGATCCACACGTTGGTGTTCTCGGTGTCGGAGGGGGGGGATGTAACTTTCTCCACAGCTACACAAAGAGAGAATGAGTTCTTAGTTTCAAGTTCAGCATCAATCCTGAGATTCATTTGTGGATATTTTTTTATCTCCTCTTTATCGCTCTTCACAAACACTTGGAGGATGGAAAGCTGAACATGTTCTATCCTTAAAGCGCTGCCTCCTGTCTTAGAGCTGAAATCTTCAATGCAGACCTTCATTAGATTTAATTAACACTCATTTCATCCCCAGGGAGAGGGCTGTAAAAAAAACATAGTCAGCACGGAGACACAGTCCCATGAGGGGCTCTCATTAGGCCCTCATCCTTTGTTTAGATTCCTAATGAGGGAGACGGGCTACGAGTACAGAGCATACAGAGGGAGGTAATTAGCTCAAATGTTACTATAAACATACAAAAGAACACAAGAAGGTCTTATGAGGAGCTTATCAACAAGTTTAGTGATAATGAGACTTTGTTTTCCTCTTTTTGTCTCCCTCTGAGGAAACACCTTCTAACAAAGTTCGGTGGAGAACAACTGAACCTTAAAAAGTGACTTTTAAGGTGCAGGGATAAAAACAAATCTTTGAATGTATACATCAAACAAAACAACTAAATAACAGAAAGACAAAGAGCATCACTATAATTTTATACCAGCAGCAAAAAAACTACAAATACCACAGCCCCTTTAACATGTGGACCACACTCCTGGAAATTTGAAGTTAGGCGCATGTGGGCAAAACTTCAAACCATGACTTCAAGCTGATTTTTATCTATATTTGCAACCTGGTGCAACTTTCCCTGCTCTGACACGGTCAGGGTCTGGATATCAAACACACAAAGGACACTGTTGCACTGAATTTTGTAAGTTGTGCATGCATGGGACGGAAAGTTTATGCTTTCCATTGATGCAGATTTTTCCTGGTATCTATTCTTATCCAGCTTTTTGACAAATCACTTGGATGTGTTCACCACCCAGTTCTGAATGCAGCCTGCCCCACAAAATATCAGAGAAGTTTCCATCAGTTTTGTGTTCGTATACAAACAGTTATATCTATTTCAAAAGGTACTCACGCTGAGCTAAGATGCCCTGGACGCGGTACCCTAAAATGATGGCAGCTCTTTGGACGTCCAGGCTGTTGAGAATGTTTGCTGCTTGATCTGCGGGCATCCTCTGACCACTGGGACCCTCCACAAAATACACGATCTCCAGGGGATTGTCCGCACCCTCCAGCCGACGCGCACTGACAACCTGGAGAGAAGAAGTTGAGTTTGTTGTTGTTGTTGTTTTTGCACATTTTCTACAATAAAACAACTGCACCTGTTTTCTTGTTTTGCCAGACATGTTTTAGACTTGTTCTAAAATTTCATGATTTACTGAAAGTAACATCAGGAGACATATACAGCAAAATACTAATTTAGGCTCAAACCATTTGGAAATCTTATTTTGCTGCATGCGTGACTAAAACCATTTCATGCAGTCCTGCAAACATTGTGTTTGCTGGTAGTCTGTTGGCATCTACAGTAGCACCAATGCTTTTTACTGTCACATTGACCCGGCCCCATTTGTAACTATCTGAAGTCTTTATCTGCATTATATCTGAATTAAATTGGAACGACACACGTGAGAAAGAAAATACATTTATTTTAAGAAAAAAAAAATCCTTGAAAACATAATAATTGTATCATCCTTTTGAACTGACATGATGCCAGTGAATGTGTGTAAAGATTCATGCACGTGGAAACAGAAACAGCTCACTCATGATACATTAGCTCATGTTCTGTAATCCCTGTAACGAGTCTTCATTGGGCAAATATCTCTCCATGTTGTCAAACACACGAACGAGAGAGTCTGTGTCTTTTTGTGAGCGTGTATGTGTAGTCGTCTCCCTGTGGGTGCCCTGGGGCCAGCAGTCTGCTGTCTGCATTACTGGAAAGAGTAAAGTGTGGGTCATGCCTGGGTTGACATAGAAAAACGGCTGGGCAGGCTCTCTGGTCCAGCGTCTAATCCAGTCAATGCAGGCTTATTAGAGTGGAAAGATGAGAGCATGAATGTGTGCGTCGCTGCTCGACCCCGTTTCCACCTCCTCTTTTATCTGTGTAGGCAGACTCATGAGGTATTCTCTCAGGTGACAACAACACACTGATTCTGTTTGACGGTTCAGGGCGTCTGTTTGATGTATGTGTCTTTTGTAATTGTGTATGTTCAAGAGAGCAAGATGAAGATTCCTGAAGGAGTTCAGACACTTGTTCTCATTATTTCTTAGCAGACACTTGGAAGATAAGTCTTTGAAATGTAAAAAAATCCAATCCAGCATCACTGATGACAGTTTCCTATCATGGCTGGAAAGGAGAACAAGCACATAATAAGGCTACTTTGCATAACACTAAATTGTGACTATGCAGAACGAGCATTTTGAAAGGCAGTAAAGATGCCAAAGGCTAAATCAGAGCTCTCATTTTATCACAAAGACAGACAGCAAAGGTTCATCAGCAATAAGGTCCTCTGTCTCCGTAAACTGCTTCATGGGTTTTATGGAGACAGAAAAGCAGGTGGTTAAAAGGTCAAAAGAACAAGTCTGCTCCTCTTCTAGAGATGAGATTCATCACACTGACAGCTCCCTATTTAAAGACCTTTTTTAAGCACTCCCACTTCCTGAGCTCACATCAAATATGCATCTCTCTTCTGCCATAACAAGTCTCTTTTATCTGAGGGTTTTGCTCTCTCTGTTCTCCTGATTTTTGAGCCCTCTACTCTGTCTCTGTGTCTCTCCCTCCACAGCCTCTTCTCTCTCAAAAACAGAGACATAGAGTCTTGATCATCCAAAGGCAGGATGCAGACAGAGAAACAGTTAATAATTGATCTGCTCTTTGCAGCTCTGTGACTCGCAGGAACTCAAACCAAACAACAGGACTAGAGGAACACACGAGGAAGAGAAGAAGGAAGGAGGACTCGTGAGGTTGTAGTCTTCTGAGCGGCCTGCCTCTGGGGTGAATAGGATGCTGTTGCCATGGAGACAGAGCCCTATCCTGTCCCTTTTGAGACGAGCTGAGCAGGTGCGGAGCGAGCCCACAAAAGCTAGAGCCTGATTAGTAAAGCAGCGAGGCTTTCAGCGGTTACAAACACTGCGACGCTCACATAATGAGGCCTCAGTGCTCAAACGAGGTAGTTAGAGAGGGCTTCATCAGGAATTAATGATGTCAGCGCAGAAAGAAGGACGCTTTTCAAGCATTTAAAAAGTTATGCATCAGAAAAATAACCTGCCTGACTTTGGTTACCAAAAGCACGAGAAATCAACCTTTTTATTTTACATGATACCATATGCTTTTCTCCACTGAAGAAAAAGAAACTGCTAAGTTATCTTGTCTCAGTAATCAAATGAGTGTTAACAAGTGCTACAAAGTCTGAACCGTATGTACACAAGATGCCGTCTGTTTTTGAAGGCTGCCAAATGAAAAAAAAAGTTAAAACGATCTTCCTGTGTGAAGATGTGTGTGTTCAGAAATGTGCTGTTTTCATGCACTACCTGAACGCTGCTGTTCCCAATAGTGGTCGCTCTCTTCACTCGTCTGACCAAACCCATCGCCTCCCCTAGTAAGATGGCCACCCTGCGCTCCATGTTGGCTTGGAAAGTCCTCTCTCCCACTTTCTGGTCCAGCACACCTAGAAGAACTGAACACACAGATAACAGACAAGAAAACATCAGAGATCAGCACAAAGGCTGTATCAACGTTTTACTATGTTGTGAGCTTTAGCTGTGTTACCTGTTCTGACCCAAGAGGAGCGAAGCAGATGACTGGTGTTCAACTCTGGATAATGAAAGGCTGTGAAAATAATTTAAGAAAGTCAAAATATTATTCATTGTTGACTAGGATAAAAAAAAAAATCACAGAACAGCCAACTTTAGAGACGGTCAAAATACAGAAACACAATACAGTGGGACTCACGCTCCGCAACCTGCAGCACAGGGAAGCCCATGTAATAGCTGAATTCCACCATAGTGAGCTTCATCAGAGCATTGCTGACCTCTGACCCCATCAGATAACCTTTTGACCCACGCACAGTGAAGGTGATGTCCACCGGCTGCCTCACCAGCTGTCGATCCTGATATTTAGGAGCAGTCATGGTGATGTTGACAATCTGAAACATATTCAGACGGGATTACAGCTCAGAGGGCAACAACTTATTTTCACTTGCTGTAGATGTTTGAACACTTGAAAAACCTTGAATATTAGCAAATGTTTTCGTTTTATTTGTGGTAGAATAAATGTCTTATCAGGCTTAACTTAAACAGATTCACCTGACAAGTCCAGGAAAATGTCATATTTAAAAATATCTCAGTATGAGACCTGAACTGCTTGTAAGGAATAAAACAAATCTGCTAATGTAGTATGAAAAAGAGAGACCCCTACTGAGCAGCTTTCCACTCACTGAGCAATAGACGGCTATTAGACGTCTAGTTTTTTTTTTTTTTTTAGACCTAATTTCAACCGTCTAGATTCTGTTTATTTTTAGACAGAATTTAGACGTTGCACTTTAACCCATTATTCCATAAATATTTATTTCAAAAAGCAACTGTGAGTTAGTACTATATAATATAAATACAAAATAATTATGATAGCCATTGAGCAATATACAGTACAGTATAGATATAGCCCAGATTTAAATTAAGTCTAAACTTGGTCTAAATTTAGATGTCTAAAAAACGTTCATTTTTAGACCTGTGGTAGCCTGATTTCAGACCAGTCATCTAAGATGTATGTAGAAGTCTATAAGACCTCTTTTACACCAAAAAATGCTCAGTGGCTGATTTGCAGCATAAAAAAACTCCTTATGTATCTCATACAGGTGTCCTTGAAAAGCCCCTATTTGCAGGACTTTTCATCCTCTGTCTGAAATGCTTCATTTTGGCTGCCCTCCACTGATAAGAAGTTAAACACAGCTTTGTGGGTGTTACTTTTTACACAGCTTTGTAGATACAAAATAACTTGAGGGTACGATCTTTACACATCAAACTGTGTGACTGTGAAGCACTCTCATGAAAATACAGCTGTAATATGGGCACTAGGCTGCTCATCTTTGTTTCCACTCACCTGCACAGTGAAGTTGGTCGACTCCTTTGAACGTCGACGCACTTCTGCAAAGGCCTTAGTCAAACCTCTCTCCATGCTCTCACTGAAGTTGCAGACGCGCACGTCTGTGTGACTGGGGACAAACTGCAGCACTGGGGAAAAAACAGGAATTAGACCAAGTTTAAAAACTATAGTTTACCTCAGACTACCTAAGTGTTGAGAGTAAGACAGCCCGTTACCTGTGTGGATTTGATATTTGCGGTCTGGTGTAGTCCAGTTGGGAGACACAGACAGAAAACGGCGCCCAGACCTTCGCAGAGCGTTGACGACAGATATGGCTGTGTACACAACTGGACCAGACACCACCCGGAACACAAACTTTGGTGGTGGATCCACAACCTTCACGGATAAACAAGAATAGACGACAGAGAGGAATCACTGAAAGGTGCATTTCATTCAAAGTTCAGCAGTTCGTGTGTTTAAGAGGTCATCTCAGTATCAGGGATCTTGATGTTACGTCTCCTGCGTTTTGTTTATCTTAGAAATAGCGATATGAAACTCAGGAAGTCATCTGGCCTTCATGGTTCTTCTGCACAGTCCAGACAAACACACATACCAGCAAACACAGAGAGGGTATGTGACAGCCATGACTGTCTTTACTCAAACAGGATTTTTTTCACTGCATGTCCTAATTTTTATTCTTTCCATTTAAAATTCAACTTTAAATAATTAAATCACCATCTTTAAATCATTAAAACATCAGTTTATGTTGAGGTCAATTTACCTGCAGCTCCACAGACTTGTTGAACTCCACCTTCAGTATGTCTCTCACTTGGACTTTTGCATATCCCACAGTGGCTGCAGAAGGAAAACCTTCAGAAGAAAGCATGAAAAGCAATGAGCCTCATTATCCAGCCGTTCTCAGGGAAAAAGTTTTTCTTAAAACTCGGTTTTGAGACATTTTCACAGTGCCAGCTCTAGACATAAGAATTCATGGATGTGCCAGACAGTGCTGTTTCCTCAGGGTTTGTCTTGAGACATTATTAAAGCAAGGCTGTTTTTGCCAAAACTCCAGAGGGGAAGTGTAGAGTAATGAAAATTCTGCCATCATACTGTCTGTGGCTGCTTTTTAACAGCCACTGGAAATTTTGGGTGGATTTTTTAAAAAGTGTTACTCATTTCATGAATCAATCAAGCCACCTTAAGAGCCAAAATGTACAATATTTCAAACTCAAATCAAAGCTGAAGCACAGACCGTGTCAAACCTACCAATTTTCACCAAATAAGCAGGCTTCTCTGGGCTGCAGAGGTACTGTCTGGATGTTGTTGTTTCAGCTGTGGTCTTTTCACCGGTAGTTACCATGACACTGACGTTTGTTGAGGCCTCAGTGGTGGCGGTGGCAGTCGCCGGGGCTTGATGAGAAACAGTGGTGGCAGGTTTAGTTGTGGGCACAGCAGAAAGTGTATTAGCTTCACTGCTAGATGGGATCGAGGTCACGGTGGCTGAGATGTCAGCTCCATCTTCAGTCACCCCCTGATCGCCGAGCTCAAGTGGGGGGACCACAGAAGCATTAGATGTGGGTTCAGTTGTAAAAGTTGAGTCTCTTGTCATTGCAGGGGCGGTGACGTTGGCAGCAGGGTCAGTGGGAAGAGGGGAGAAGGCTATGCTTGCAGTTAAGACAGGCGTGGTGTGAATGATGCTCTGTTGGACTCGTTCAGTAACAAACCAGTGGACATCAGTCAGAGAGGAGGACGACACTGCATCTGCTGATAGGAGAGGGGTGGCAGATGGTAGCGCAGTCTCTAATGATGTTAGTGAAGGTGCTGGCCAATATGTAGGAGACACCTGGCCCCCCCAGGTGGACAAAGAAGGGTCAAAGGAGTGGCTTGGGACTTTAGAGGGGTCCAGAGAAGGCTCAGATGCATTGACTAGATGAGGAGTTTCCTCTGGGGTTGATCCATCCTGAGGTTCGAATCCTGATGAATCACTGGAGGACTCCTCCTCAGCCGATTTGGTAGCACTGGTGAAGCTGCTGGTGGGAGTTTCATCAGTGGTATTTAAGGACACCACCGTTATATTCCCTCTGTGTTCGGCGCTTTTGTCTGAATGGTTGTTCTCCTTGGTGGACTGAATGGTGTAATACTCCATGCTGTTCATGTCAGGAAGGAGGACGTCTGTGGGCTGAATGGTGAAGGTATCTGGCCACTCTATGTCGGACACATCAGGTATTTCACTGCTCGCTGTGGGGGTAGGTTCTAGTGTGTAGTGAACTGAGGTGGAGAAGATTGAAGGACTGATGGTTGTGGTTGGAGTGATGGTGCTGTATGCTGTCATGACGCTGGAAGAAGGGGAGACATAATGAGGGTGCATGGATGAAGGCGATATTCCCACTCTGGAAGGAAAGGACGTGTCGTAGCTTTCTGTATACTCCTCTGTATCATATGAATCAGAGGGCACCTTAGTGACCAGGGAGTAGTCCTCTCCATCTGGATTCAAGAACGACATTGTCTCCAGGTAGTCTCCGGACCCCCAGTCTATCTCCATGGTGTTGGATGGGTAGAAGTCGTCTGGAAGGACCTCAGTTGGCTCAGATGTAGGTGATGTGAGGTGAGGGACGATGAAAGGCACATTGTATCCAGGACCCAGAATCTCCTCTGGGTTTTGTTGTTTGTTGATGTCGAAAGCTAACTTGAATTCCTCCGAGGGGGCACTACTTGGGATCAGGTGGTAAGGTTCATCCGCTGGAGACTCAGCTAGATCACTTTCAGGTGGCTCAATCTGCTTGTCTGACAGCGAGGTTGTGATTGTCAGTGTTTGATTCAATGCATCACCCTGCTTGTTGTTCAAAACTGCAGCTGTCGTCGGTCTCATCAAAACAGAGGAGTTCAATGATGTTGAGGATGTTTTTGACTCTGGCTGGAGCTGGGGTCTTGTTGGCGTTGGAGAGAGAGGGGAAGATTGCCTTGCAGACTGTCCGATATTCTGTTTCCAGTCTGCGGCGGACTTAAGACTCACCCCAAATACAGGTTTAGAGGGGCTTAATGATGTGGCAGGAAGAGAATGTGGTTCTTCTGCAAGGAGGTCTCCCGCCCTGTTTGCAGAGGCAACAGTTGCAGCAGTCCAGTCATCGTGATTTGGTTCAGAAATGGATGGCAGGGCACCAGGTGAGTCTGGGCTCTTAAAGGCAGTGTAATGTGAGGCTGGTAAGGCTGATGGTGATGACCTTGTTGATTTTGGACCATCTCCAAGAAATCTCACTGGATGCAGAGGCGAGTCTGACAGAGTTGGATCTGCAGAAGGAAAGAAAGAGAAAGCTGCAGTTCATGGCTGAATGACAGGATCCATGGTTGATGAACTGTTGCAATACATGACAGTGGTTGAGGGTAGACTGTGATTCAAATAGACATGGGTGTAATAACTGTGCTCCTTCTCAAACAAGAGTTCATTTACTGTCACTGAGTTGAACTATCTTTATTTTCTCCCCACAAATTCTTAAAACTAGCAGTTTTAAAAGTTCTTGAACATGCTGACCTGTTAATCTGCTATAACATTGTTGGTACAAATCACATACAAACCCAATTACAAAGCAAGCCAGGAAATATTGTAAAATGTTGATAAAAACAGATTTTGAGGGTTTGAAAACCACTTACGCCCAAAGTTTGATTGAAAATAGTGCAAAGATATGTTAAAGTTGATTTTTTTTTCCTGTTAATTATTGAGTATTAAACAGTTTCAACAAAGCCTCACTTTTTATGGGCTTTAAATAATTTGCGAGTCATCATTTATTAACCCTTTTACACACATCCATTCTTTTTTGTTGTGAAGAAAAAAAAACACTTCAGTTTCGTTGCTTGGCTAAAAAGCAGAAAGAACCCAAACATGACTTGGCGTGGCAGACAAGTAGGCACCTCTTGCTGAGCACTATTGCGTAACTGGACATGGAAAACAATGGCGTAACACTGATGGAGTAACTTTAATAAAATAAAATGTGTCTGGCATCCCGGGGTCCTAAATGGCTTAAATGGAAATTGATCTGAGAGGACACAGCAAAAAATATTGAATCTGCTCTTAAGGGTGTTTTATCGAAGAACCATTCATTAGGAAATGCGTCATTTCAGAGCCGGTCACCTCTGGGGCAGAGGTCACAGTGGTTATCCACTTTACAGAACAACATGATACCTGACTGAATCTGTAGGAAAGGCTGTGGTTACTTTAGCGAATGAAATGAAACCTCAGCCTAAATTTAGAGAAAATCAATATTAAATGAACAGATGATATGAAGAGCAAATACTGACACTGATGGAATTTGAGACCTATGAGGCTGTTTTACCAGAAAGCATAAATCATTAAGTCAGCACATTTAGCTCTATTTAGCTCACAAGCAACATGTGAAATGAAGCCAACAGACATTTACAGCTCGACTCTGTGATTTCTGAGTTCAGACCTGATCAAGAGTCCGACTGATGCTGTGTTTGCTAAAGTGGAGCCATTTATCCTGTAGGAAAACTCCCTGATAAGACATTAAGGAAACCATTAATGGGGACTCCTATTGTTGGGAAATGAAGCCAATACAGATGTGGGAAAAAGCAGCAGTTCCTACAATGTCTACTGGAAGCCTCCTCAAAAAGGCTGTGAATCCCCATAAAAGTAAAAATACTAATTTGTAGCAGGATTGAATGTTTCTTTATTCTCATTCACTTCTATTATTACAGTCATGAATCATCCACTGTGAATATCTGCAGGAGGAAAAGTTTTAAAACAGGCTTTTTCTTCAGCATAGTGTCAGGCAACCAAAAGTTCGAGTTTTATACAGTCAAAAATAATAAATCCTCCTTTCAATGTGGTTACCACATAAAAGCTGACATTCACTTTCTCTTCACTTCCACTTACGGACAACTGTAACATGCTGATGGGTACAAACTGACCATATGTCAAACATGTCCTTGATGGTCGAGGCCATTTTGTGTTGCACCCTAGAGAGAAAATCTCCAAAGCCTTTTATGATGCTTTGCCTTGAAGTGATAAATGGTGCAATTTCCAGCTCATTGGGAAGCAGCCCGGCATCTTGCAAACAAGAGTAAAGTCCTACAGGGTGACACTGGACCAGCCAAAATATAGAAACGGCAACTACGGCTTATGCAACATCTTCGAGCGCCAAAGGCCTTTCTGTCCAAATTGCATAACATAGTGTATCATGCATGATATAATTTGGGGCATAATGGTGAGGGTCTAACTTGTTAGGAATAAGCAGAAGGGAAAGGAGCAGAATCACTCTTTAATTATTCATGGTAATGCACCTTTTAGCAGCTCTTTGTAATGGTATAAGCATGACTCTCTTTGATGCAGAAATGAGTTCATACATTTTCCATAAGTATAAAAGTTAAAGCCCAAGGAGAAGTTGCACGTCACAGTTAAAATACACTCTTATACAGAAGGTGCAGACAGATTAAAAAATAAAAAAAAACCTTTAAGGGTAGATAGGTTAGGGTGCCTGCTAACATGGCAGGAGATGTTTTTGGAAGAGAGTCTGAGGAAAGTGCATTCACTTCGTCAACAATCTCTGCCAAGATCACATGTCTTAAATTTGTTTGCAGCTTAAGTTCCTCTTTAGAGCAAAACTTCAAAAGGCCTATTATTGTCATCGCCAGAAGCAAGTCACCAAAAGCTTCTACTATAGTGACTCAGCAGCTGCTGGTGATGTTCAAGCTCTTTGTAGTGGATCAAGGCTCTGTAGAATCTCACAAACATATGAAGGCAGCTGCAGAATCAGCTGAGGGAGAAGACTATATTTAACACTGGGGGCACAAAACAGATCAGTTATAATAAGCATAAATAAAAGAGAGTCAACTTCTAGAGTGTCATCTTCAATTTACCGCATCCCTTCACGCGAGGAGACTGCCTCTGGTTGGCCCAGGAGAAAACTCCCAACTTAATTACAGCCTACACTGGTACCTTTATTCAGTCAACATGCTATTATAACTGAGCACATTTGAAAGGACTAGGACAGAAAAAAGCTGGTTTGTGCTCCAAACTGCCCCACAGCTTCTAGTCTGCTTTGCCAAGTGTTTGAACCCACAGGGATGTATCACAGCTGGGCAGATGAACACAATCTTAGCACATTCTCTGCAGACAATAAATGTTCTGCACCATCACAAAGAGAATCACAGTGCCTGCAATAAACAAGCTGTTTGGTGATGGCCTGATTTCTTAGTTTGGCAGAGGAGATAAACTCACACACCATGTTGTATGAATGCCTGTATACTTCAACATAGATTAAATTGATCCACTTTGTATGATTTTGCATGTCGCTAAAATGAACCGGCTAGATTTATACAAAGAATAGAGAAAGGCTGAACAGACAAGCTCTATAGGAGGTCGATGGTCCGAAAAACATGCTGATGTTTGAGGTCGTTCTGTGGTATGTGACCCCAAAACGTCACCTCATCTCTCTTTTGCAGCCACATTTAGGACGATTAAACATGCGTGAATGGATGACAAAACAGCTGTCTAATTCAAACAAAGACTGTCGTTAGTGGGTAATTGATGCTAATTCTGATATCTACACTAATGATGATGAATTTTAGGATGATCGGGTCCTGACAGACAGCTAGAAAATGAAGAACTATGATGGTACAGTAGTCACAGATTTGTGCTTATATAAAGAAAAAACAAAATCACAAATGAACATTTACACAGGAAACTAACACTGCACGGTATAAACATTAATATATTGTAAACAGCTAGTCCAGCATAACTAATACTAAAATAAAAACAGTTGATTGTTGTAAAAAAATAAACATTTAAACATGACAAATATTAAAGTTGGGGTGTCAATTTTGGCAGGACAAAAAACAAGGACAACTAATGACACAATACATAACAATTGGATGCGATACAGTATGGTATGGTAGGGTGTATGATATAAAATCATACAATATGATTGCGTAAAATACAATACCATAAAATCAAACAATACAATACAATATGATACGATACAGTACAGTACGACACATTATGGTAGATTATTAGACAATACTGTTCAATTCCATGCAAAATTATGGGAAAAAAAAATAATGAGATACTGCACAAAATGATATATGATATGATCCAATAAAGTACAGTATGATAAAGTATAGTAAGTTATCATGTTATATGATAATGATACAACAAAGTAAAATAGATTTGATACAATACAAGATGAATGAAATGGACCAGCACTTTATTATTATACAACTATTAAAACTTGTTCGTATTATACATAAAATGAAATAGTATAAGATATGATATGATAAGACACTATAAGATACAATGTATTAAGAGTCTATACAGTACGGTACAGTGTGGTAGAGTAGAGTAAGATAACACAACAAGATACAATAAGATGGGCTATAATGCAATACTTTACAGTCTGTCATGGTGTGATAGGATTTGATAGGATAAGAAATGACAGTAGTAGACAATACTAAAAGAAAGAAGAAAATTATACAATACCATTTAATGTTATGTCATAAGACTTGACAGACAGCAAGGTACTATGATTCAATAAAGTTTGATATTTGGTGTTGATGCTTGTCTCTCTCTCTGCATCACCCTGTATCCCCTCTCTAAACCCAATGCAGTGGCGGCAGATGACAGTCTTACATGAGTTTGGTTCTGCTCAAGGTTTCTGCCTGTTAGAGGAAGTTTTTCCTCTCCTCTGTAATCTGCTCAGAGTTACACTCATGTAAATTAGATGAAGATAGAATCAGAGTGGGTCTGATCTTACATCTTTACATTGGTTTCTTTGTAAATATCAGAATATAGTCTTGACCAGCTTTCCTCATGCATCTTAAGATAACATCAGTTGCAAATTGGTGCTCTCTATAGATAAAGATTGATTGATTGGTTGATCTGCTGTTGTTCAAACCTAGCTGTATAAGTAACGAGATAAAGTTAACCTTTAAAGCCATAAATCCACATTACTTGTAAAACATAGTACAAATTGAATGAGTGAAAGCCGCTCTATGATTGTAGAGAGTCCCTACAGGCTGTTCCTAATTATTCAGCAGGCTGACTCTTAATACCTGATGGCTTATCTTAGGTAATGACCGTCAGAGCTCGGAGTGACATCCAGCAGCCATGCACAGAGCAGATGAGAGTAGACTGAGCTGGGTTTGACATTACATTGAGCAGAAACTGACAAAGGCCTTCAAGGCTATGCAGCAATGCCACCTGTCCCCCCGAAACATGAGTGTGTCACACTTGGCTGGACAGGCATTGTCGGATCTGTCTGTGAAATGAGTCCCATGCTGAGGGAGACCTTTAAATATCAGGTCACAAGAGCATCAATCGAGAGACCTCACAGCTAACAAGAACAGAATCATCCTCGTGCAGCTGCACCCCTCTTTCTCAGTTAGTCACCCTCTCTCTTGGAGACATGGTTTCAGCTACAAGGTCAGGATGTGGTTGCATTAAGAGTCTTTAAAAGTCATGAGCTAACAATTAGTCAGGCTACACAGTTAAATTTGATTCTAATCAACTGCATGACACATTTTTACATGTTCTGGTCCAAAAGCCTTGAATGGTACACAGCACCTCCCCATCACTCTGACCTGCTTTCTGGCTGCAATCAGACCCCGCAATGTTTTCTCTTGTGTCTTTTCACAGTTAGTCTCATGTCTTCATGGTCCTTAATGTGTGTTCTATTCAAAATATATAACTGATACAGTATGTCTTGTTTTGATGTTCTATGTTTTTAAGCTCCTTTGTATCTCATTTTATTGTGAGTGTTTCGTATTTTCTGAGAAGCAAATCGAGTTCACATCTGTATGAAATGTGCCACACAAATAAAAAAGTGAATCGAAATTTATACAGAAACTTTTTTTGTAGTGAGTTTAACCCACTACGAGAAACAAAACAGAACTAGACACATAAGTAAACAGCAACTGTACAGACATTTTTAGTATAACCTAACAACAATATTTATCTGTTGTATTACTTGGCAAGTTTCACATCAGTGCTTTATAATGTTCTCACAAAAATGAGTCATGCATGGACAGGGCTTGTTAGTGATGTGCCATTTTGTGACAATCAAAGCAATGTTACTATTGCAGAATAACAGCAACCAACTATACATAACTTTTAAGGCAGTGATATGGGAAGTAGGGCCTGACTGATTTATCAGTGAACTGATTCAATTGGCCAATTTTAGCTTGTTTGAGACTAATTGTAAATCGGCCAAAACTCCCAGATTTTCGCCAATATTTTCAGAAATAAATTGCAGAGAATAAAATTGGGTTTCACTTCAAAAATGTTCCGCCATTTGAAAAGTTCCCTGACTTATCCTGTAGATGGCACAGCGGCCTCATGACAATCTTCATCCACTAACTACCTCACAGCACAGCAGAGTGGCGGATCTGAAGCAGGCAGCTCAGGGACTCACAGAGGAGAGTGGTCCGCCTCAACGGTAAATAAACCAGCTTGTGAAATACACAATAGGTCAACAAGTTTCAGTTCAACCCACTTCACCATGGCCCCCACTGTGCTGGTCTCAGTCACACCGAGTTAACGGTGAAACACCATGTAATATGCAAGCTAAAGTTAGAGTTAGCCATCTACTATTAGCCTTGCTACACTGTTAGCCGTGCCAGTAATGATAGAATAAACAACAGTACACATTACGTGATCGAGCTACTTCTCTTACTGAGGCAGCTGCATGTCTCCAGATGAGACTGGACCGGAATTGTGTAACGTGAGTTAAGACGCGGAGGCACCGATCGGGGGGTAGTTGAAAATGCTTTTCTGGTCCGAGTTTGATCAATCTGTGTCCCCGGCGACGTGAAGAGCAGTAGCCTACACTATATCTACAGTATATAGTAAACTGTAGATATCTACAGTGTATATATATATATATATATATATATATACTGTATATTATAACTTAATAAAAAAAATTAAAAATCGTCTGATTAATCAGACCTTTTTCCTCACTAATAATCGGTATTGGCCCAAAAAATCCATATCTGTCGGGCCCTAATGGGAAGGCCTATATTTAGTATGGGATTCAAAACTTTCAAGATTGCATGAACTTGTGGACTTCGATCTCTTTCTGATCACCTGATGGGCATGTGTGAGGCACTGCAGGTCATCAGACACCAGGAACAGCAACAAGAGATCATCTGATAGGTCATGGCTGGTGATCTTAAAAAGGGATAAACAAAGCGAATGTCAAAATTATCTACAATGGATGGCTGGGAGAATAGTTGGGTCCAGGTATCATTCATAAGTGGGTAATATTGCTTGGCTCATGTCCGCTTGAAAAAAATGGATGGAAAATATGGCACACAGTCTCATTACACTGACGACATTGGAGAATTAATGCTGTGAGATTTTTATTTATTCATTACATGAATAAATGGAGGCTAATGAGATTCCATTTTTCGCTCATCCAGCCTTGATGTGTCTTTAACAGGGACTTGGTCTCATGAATAGCTGTCTTGTACTTGAGCTAAACTAAATTTGCATTTGACTAAAAGAAAAAATTACCCAATCTCACGGCCAGTGTCCTGTCATTCCGTATTCAGTCTACTTTATGTGGCTCATAGACTAATCCTTTTGTTATGTTATTATTTGTAATAAGAGATAAGTGTTGTGCACACTGCATCAAATACATTTGATGTTACATACAAGGTGATGAAAGGCAAATGCATGAATAATCAATAATGGTCATTTCACTGAAGCCCCATAAATCCATATGTAAGTATATTATGAAACACAACCATTGTTCTGCACCAGCTAACACATCTGGTAGCCTACATGGACCACTGAGAGTAATCATGTAAAAAGGATTGTGACAAGGAAGGGATTACTATTCTAATATCCTTAGATTGAAATAAAAAGAGGCAGAAGAGTGCAGAAAGACTTTGATGAAACTAAGACACAACTTCAGGCACTGAAAGGAGGAATAACCTACTTAACCAGGAGGGTATTGGCAAAATCTTAAGAGATGACAAGATAAATCACTGCAGCTCCACTAACCCATATACACTGAGTATTCTGAAGAGCTCTACAGAGAGAGAGTCTGAATAAACTGGTTCATAGACACTCGCATCAAGTTTGCAAGTTTAAAAAAAGAAAAGCACTGTTCCACTTAGTCTGTGGAGTGTATAAGATGCAGGTTTGTGTTTGGTTTACTTTCTGTTTTTGTATTATTTAACCTTTACATTTATTGTTGGGTTGGTTTCTTAAAGGAAAGTATAAAGGTCCTTTCACACTGGGAGCGTTTTTTTTTCGTGCGATTATTTCGGACGTCGATATTTTTTCCCGAACCCGTATCCTGTCAATTCAAGCGTTCACATTAGCAACATTTTCCTGTCCTGCGATTTTGCGGCATTTATTTTTCCCATCACAGTCAATTTTTTTAAAGTTTCGCATACTGTGTGTCCACTTCTGACCAATCAGATTTCGTGTTGTTGCAACGTCAGATTCACCGATATATCCAACATGGCCGACCGGCTGATTGTTTACACGTGTTGGAGAACAGAGTGCTTTTTTGATAAAAAAACACAAATATTACAAAGATAACGACCTGAAGGACAACTTGTGGAGAGTCAAAGCGTCGGATTTCTCATATGACGATGATTTGTGTGCTTTAACAGTTTGATAAACGTCTTTGTTTTAACTTTCATCTATGCTAAGTAACTTAAGCTCGTAAGCTAACCTGTTCAAATACAACATACCATATGTATTTTCTTTCACAGCACCATTAGGTCTCGGTTGTTACCTTATGTTTAAGGATTATAGTTTTATGTGCTTATCTGGTACTGGCCCCAACTCAGTACATGCTATCATGACAGGCAGCCATCTCAACACTAGTGTCTAATCAGAACTGAAAAACAGTCAGTCTTCTTGCTTCCACCCAGGACGCGCGTCCAACGCCCAACCTCACATTCATGCGTCAGAGCATTATAAGGATGGCCGTGGTCTCATACAGCTAATTTTTTCCAGTGGTCTGCTATTACCTGCATTAAACTGGTGGTTTTTGATGTGAATGTACCTTAGTGGGGGCCTGTGCATGTACATCTGTTAGTGATTTTGTGTACCCTGCAGAGGCAATTTTCCACTGCAGTCTCAGCATCCTGCAAGTGTCCAAACATGGCCTGGATACTGTGAGGAACAACAACTCTATTTAATACTAAACTGGACAACTCAGGACTATATGATTTTTTATTTTTGGTTTGTCTTTTGGTAGATCTAATCAAAAGGATGCATGGATTTTAAGGGATGCAATGATTTGGATGGAATTATACTTTCCCTAGTTCCATTTAGCATTGCAAAAGCACTCTGAGGGCATCTCAGTTTGTGCTGTGAGTGAATCACTGAAAGCAAGCTAATCTTGTTAACATTATTCCGTCTGTGTCACTGCTTTCAAACTAAACACTTGGATATCTCCCAGGCTGGGATCTGAGCAGCAACAGCCCTCTTGGCAAGAGTCTGATATATTGAGGCCTGCAGTGAACTTTTGTTTATAACAAACGGATCGCCTCGAGTGTCTGACTGTGCTTATTGTTTGTATTGCTAACGCCCTGTCAATATTGGGAGCATGAAATGTGCAACACAAAGTTCGTGATTTGACAGACGGCAACATTGAGGTCATATTGTGCCAAGCCTGAATCACCCTGTGCTCTGATGGGCTGCAGCTGATTTTTTATATATTTATCAGAGCAGATGGTGCTGCTCAGCCCGGCCTGTTTCAGACTACTCCGGGCTAAATCGTTTGTTTTGGACTTTCAACATTGTAGCAACTACTTAAAGACATAGCAGTCAGTATTTGGCCTAACCCTGCGCAGATATTTCCCTTCTCTGCGCTCTTATTGTATTTTCTGGCTTATTTGAAAGCAGCTTCTTTCCAGGGGAGCTTACCCTAATGCAGTGCTGTTTGTTCTCCCAGGACCTGAAGCCTGAGAGTGGCCTGTGCAGGGAGGAGGACCGAGGCTGAGCAGAGGAGGGTGCTGAGTGACACAGTCCTCTGGGCCTCTCTGGTTACAAGACTTTGCCTTCCTGTCTTTCGAAGAAAATCAGGGCTGCAGAAAGAGGAGTGCAACAAAACTTTGTGTGTGTGTGTGTGTGTGTGTGTGTGTGTGTGTGTGTGTGTGTGTGTGTGTGTGTGTGTGTTTGTGTGTGTGTGTGTGTGTGTGTGTGTGTGTCGTCTGAGAGCAAAGCAGAGCAGAGCCAGGCTTTTCTTGCAGAATGACACATTGGCATTGCACCATCATAATCCACTCTTTGAAATTGGTCATACCGTCATGAAATCAGGGAGACTCCTGTGAGGTTTGTGTGCGAATGAAAGTCCTTAAATCTGTTACACTGAAGCTCGACAAATCCCAGAAGACTCCATAAAAATGTTTGTGAAAGTCAGCTCTCTCTGTAGCCGTAACTCGATTTACCTCTTTCTTCTTCGGCTTCTCTTCTTTTTTTTTCCTCAACTCTTTTACATGCCTCCCTCCCTCCCGCCCTTCTCCTCATCCTGCTCCCAGTCTTTTTTGCTCTCTCATGTCTCTTATCTTTTATTTCACAGGAAAACCAAACAAAGTTCACATAAATACATGATGAAGTGCAGGAATGATCTCAGTCAGGTCCGTTCTCATGCTCAAGTTTTGCCAAATCAGGTCTGTTCGAGGAAGATGGTGACAGCCTCTTGTTACAAAACCTGAAGATATCTGGGTTAGCACTCAGACTTGGATTGTACTGTTAACACAGTCTGCATGGATTTAAATATGTTTTTCAATGTTTTCCTGTTTAGCTAAATTAAGATCATGTGATTGGACCGGAAAGCAACTGGGGTGAGTTAAAAACAAATGCACCCTTATGAAGTCTGACTGCTTATTTCTGATGATGGTGGTGGTGGTGGTGGTGGGGGGGGGGGGGGGGGTTGCCTGAGCTTTGGCAGAGCCCTAATTGAACTCTACTGATAAAAACAATGGGATCTTTCCCATCTTAAAAGCTTCCCGGATAAACTATACGTCCACACCGCCCTATCTTGATTGTTCGACTACACTCGGCATATGCGGCTCCTGCCAACTGAAAAGAGCCAGTCACGCAAGGGGCTCAGCTGAAAACAGAACCATGTGTGGGCTTGTAGTTAGCTAGCATTAATACCAAAAGACCCTTTTCTTCTCTTTCCCCCTCTTTTTTTCTTCCAAATTACACAACCATTAAATCCTTTCTTTGCAATAAGGAGTCTGGCAAACAGAGGAAATGATATCATGAGAAGGCTCTGTAATTGGTATCTCAGGTTTCTAGACTCACATGTGGACGTGTGTTTAATATAGTCTGAGTTTACATGTGCACAAAAAAAGCACACTGCAGTGCTCACAGCCTCATGGCTTTGTTACATTTTCATTTAAAGCTTAAGAATCCTTTTTTTTCTTGTAGTTAAAGCAAGACTAGTTCCTGTAAAAGCTTCTCAAATCAATGTTGAGCACTGGAGCTCTAATCTTATCAAGGCACATTTGTCTGCTTGTGTTTTGTTTGCAGTGACACAGCTTGCTTTTAGCAGAAGTGCATTGTGTCACTTAGGAAATTGTACATTCATCCTTTCACCTGGCAGCCACTTGTGAGGAAGCAGAGGGGAGCAGCAGAAACAGATTTGTTGTCCTGTTTTTCTGTAAAAAGGCTGCTCGCTGCATGATTATTGTCTGTTTATTCTCATAACCTTCTATCAGATGCTGTTAAAAGGACAAAAGGAGAAGTGGAGAGACTTTTCTTCTTTCTTTCGAGGTCTGTCAAAGAGGTTTCCTATGATTGGTTTCGAGACATGAGTGGAGCGCTGTCTGTAGGGAGGCTTTATCAGGTAAACTGTTCCAGCTTTGGGACCAGAAGTCATAAGAGGACAGCATGGACTGGCTCGCTTTAGGAGGATGACCAGCTACCTCCCTGTTTTGTTTTCCTTCTTAACCCCACAGTGTCTGCTCGGGACAATTACAATGATTTGTGCTAACTGGATGACATGAATACACTGTAACTCTCAAGATTAACTCAGAGTTATTTGTGAACATAAGGTCTTTGTTTCTTCTTTACAAGGTAAAAAAACAGAAACATTAACTTTAGTTAAATGCAGCTCCATGTCGTATAGAGGGAATTTATGTTGCTGAAATGTGACTTAGGATTTTCAGACTTTGAGTTTTGTTCTCAGATAAGGAAGAAGTGTAAAGAAATGCATTTTCAGCCAAGATGACTAAAAATATATAAATATATACACTGATATTTTTACAACTGAGAGAAACATCTGTCAGAATCAAAATCTATAAAACTGTCTTTAAACTGTCTGACAAAGTTTTTAAAGTTTTTTGGGGGGGACATTTTTGCCTTTACTAGATAAAATAGCTGGATAGAGAGAGCAGGAGAAGAGATGAAGCGAAGAGTCAAAGCCAGGAGTCAAACCAACAAGCACGGTGATGAGGACTAAATCCTTTATAAGTAGGGTGCTTTCGCTGATAGTTAGACTATCAGCGTCCTTCCAGAGAAAGTCTATTGACTGAAATTAAACTGAAATGACCACTGATTAAAGTTAAACTAAAATGAGAATCAATCATCAAAAGCACAACACACAAAGACAAAAATATGACAAAAGGCTGCCGGGTCCAAACAACAAACTATGGATTTGGACAGGCCAGAAGGACTCCAGAGAAGGTTTAGGGTTCAATTCATTGCAGTGGATAAGTGGCCCATCTCAGCAAGTCATGACTGCCTTTTGGAGCTTCTGGATCCACGGCGCCCCCTAACCAGCGCTAAACAGTCAAATTGCTGACAACACACAAGACTTTTAAAACATGTTTTAAAGTAAGTTGCAGCTGCAGGCTGTTCTATGAGCGAGTTTCACAATAAGTCTAGCCGGACTGAGTTAAATGAAACAAGCTAAAGAAATCTGGCAGTTAATTTATTTACCTTTTTCGTTACAATTATGAGCTTATGGTCTTTCAAAATAGAAGGGGCTATAGACAACACCTGTGCAGCCTGAAGATGGATATATGCCAGCAGGTTTAGCATCGTTTATGGGTAATTTAGCCAGGACTTAGCTGGCTAAATTACCATGGTAACTTACTCTTACTCTTATAACCTGGCCAGAACCTGGTTTTGTTTAGATTTGAGGCTTAAATTAAGATGTTTATTGCTATCACTTCATTAAATTATGCTTACATTAGTCATCAGCTGATGTAGCAGGAGAGTTTTTGGCTCCATAATGTCCCGTCATGTCAGGAGCCAGTCTATGCATTTAGACTACTTAATTGTAACTCAATTCACTTTGTCGTGCATATTATACACCCCTAACAGTCTCCCCCCTCTCTTGTGAATTCCTTGTTTACCTCATGTAACATCATCCGTTTAGGTTTCAGCAGATCATCCCTCCAGTGAAAGAACCATAAGGCTGCAGCATCTATGATCTCATTAGATTATGTTTTAAGGTTTGCTCATAAGTCCATTTAACACAGCTGGTCTTCCAGCGAAAACAGAGATGAAAGGATTAAATAGTATATTAAAATTTGTTATGGATCACATCAAATAAGTTTGCATTTTCAGCTTCTATCTGATTAAACACTGAATTTATGTCATTCAGTTTTATAAAGCTGGGCTGTCCAGTGTAATTGCAGTTTTTCTTGCATGCTGTGATCATGTGTATCATTGTTAATGTGTCATTTTTGTATTGTATGTTGTCATGTTAAAATTACTCTACCTTTCTTCCTTCGACACGGCAGCAGAGACAGTTCTTTACCCTTTTTCACCCTTGTATGTATGATCTCTACTCATAATATCAGTCTGACTGAGGCAGACAGTCTGTAATCGCTCCTTTTTGTGCAGAAGAAGCAGCAAATGATGCATGAAACGCCCCCTTTTATGTGAGCACACAGAGCCTGCAGCAGAGAGTCGGAGTTCACAAAAGAAGTTTATGAGCAGCTTCGTGGTACTTGATATCTCTACCTGGAGCTTTGGCAGTTTACTCCACGAAAGACTGAGTATGTTGAGCACCCCTCTGCTCTGAAGGTATAACAGAGATGAAGGAAGAAATAGGGAGAGATAAAATACGACGTCAACAGTAAAAGAGCTTTTATCTCTTCATAGGGCTCTGAAACATCCATCATTTTTTACTTTTGATTAATCTTTTTCCTGTTTTCACTTACTCCTGTAACTTCACCATCCAGCAAAAGTAAAAATCTCAGGGCTAAATAAAAGCATCGTAATAACAGTTTTATGTGGCAGTCCCTTCTCCACAGCTCAGACATAAACCCGGTTACTTCCACCATAACTACCCACAACATACACTCAGCATTTTGAATCGATATGCTCCATGAGTTGAGTGTATTTTTACACCTCCAATGGACACTGACTCTCTGTTAGAAGAACTGTTTAAAATATATCTGTCTGCCGTCTTTGACCCCTCCTTGACCAGCAGAGCAGCTTTCAAAGACATGCTCTCAACACGTCTTTGTGGTCGAGCTGCAGCCCGACAGAGAGCAAAAGTTCCCACTGTTTGGCTTTTGATAGGTTCTGCCCATTGATCTGCAACTGGCTCCCAGCTTTAATGAATAATGAATGGCCATATTGTCATCCTGCACGGATCACATTTCACATGGCAACAGAGCGCTCTGGTAATTAGCCAGGACTTGGTTGGCCTGCAGCTTACTACCCTGAACTTGCCAGCCTCTGCAGTGCAGAATGAGAGGCTGCTGACGCTAAACTGCAAGGGCGCTTTATGAAATCTGTTATAAAGCATATAATTACATCCAATACGTTTGTAAAGATCCAGGGACTTTTGTAGACATTGGGCTCAGAGACTGTGAACAGCACAGAAGAAGAAAAAAAAAAAGAGGAAAATGACTGCATGATGTTAGGTCTGGAGGAACAATTATAAGTTGGTCGCTCTGCTCTATTTGACCTAGAAACTATAAAGTGTGCTGCTCAGTTAAAGGAAAGCTGTGTGACTGGTGCTTTCACTGAAGAGACAGACCATGGAAACAGAGTTGTCAACCTTTGCTGGAGTAAAGTGAACCAGATGACTCTTCGCATAAAATCACTCAGAGCTCCCATTTTCAGGGCAGAAAGTCAACTGAAAGTTTAAAGATTTGAGGGCTAATTCTGCCTCACTGACTAATTAGATATCTAACTCTCAATATTTAAGTATATTTCTGTTCTAATGACTAGTCTGACCACTCAAAGCCGTTTGCTTTCACTCCCCAATGACCAGGACTGTGGATCACAACACCAACCTGCTACTACTCGCACTATTTTAACACCACCGCACCCGTGAATCGCTCAGTTGACAAGTCTTTAGTAATATAGACTTCTTTTCAAGTTAAATTTGAATTTTACCGAAGCGCTTGACATTTGAGCAACCACCTGTTAGCTAAGCATACAGGTGCAGCTAAAGAGTTACCACAGACCTGTAAATGAAACTGAATCAAAGCTGTTTAACTCCAGTCTTTGCTAAATAAGTGGCAGCTTGTTAAATGAATGCTGGCCAGTCAGCATTGTGGAGGACTCAGATCCAAGGGGCATCATTGGGTTGGCATGTTGTGACCAGTCATATGTCTAGGGCTGTAAAGACCTAGTCAACTGGTCGACTTATTGATTGGTGCTGGATGGTCAAAACTATCTTGAAATGACTGACACTGATTGGACTTTCTTCTTCTTTGCTTAAAACCTCCCTGCTGTATTTGGCCAAATAAGCACTTCAAAGTTGTCTAATACTAGGGCCTGACCGATATGGATTTTTTGGGGCCGATGCCGATTATTAGGGGGGGAAAAATCTGATTACCGATTAATCAGCCGATTTTCTAAAAATTTTTATGAAGTTCTAAAAAATACAGGACAGGAAGACTGACTGGTGAAGCAGTATTGCATGTATTTGAATAATAAATAAGAAAGACAAGATCCTGAAGTAAATTTAACTTCATTGATTCTCAAATCAAGACACTGGTAAGAAAGAAATGCGCATAGTTTGACAGCCCTGATAAAAATGTAGAAAATACTGACGCTGATTTCAAAGAGCAGGTTGAGCTTCTTGTTAGTGAGTTACTGTTTCACCTCCAACCAAGAGATAATTAACAAATGATTTAGCCAAATAAAGCTATGTTCATACTTGATTAGGTACTTTAAAATTAAATGCATTTGTGTCTTCATCTTGTTTGTTATCACAAATGAACGGACAAAATTAAAACCAGATAAGGAATGATTCTGCCCTGGAATAAATAAGAATAAAACCATATTCTTTAATAATCATCCTCACAGGAAATTCATTGCAGATACAGCCACTTGCTCAGGGGCACTTCATCAGTGTTTAGGAAGTGAACTGGCACCTCTTATGTCCAAACTTGGTTCATACTTGGAGTCCCTACAGCAGCTTGTACTCTTCCAGTTGTTTCCAATCTTACAGAAGCACCTAAAATAGCCAATTAATCAAACAAACCTTGTTAACAAAGCCGATGAGAGCTTCTATTAGTTAAAACTGGATTAACTGCTGTTGAAGCATGCAAGGCTTAAAGGAAAGCAGTCAAAAACGAGTCATGAAATAGTTCACGAAAGCTAACAACGCATGCTCTCCTCGGAGGTGGAACCAGGTCATAAAAATTTCTCCAACCAAATCCAAATCCTAGATTACACAAATCACAAGCAGAGACTAATCCATCAGACCAAAGATCTCTGAAATGGATCTTTGTTTGTATTTGACAGTATATTTTTGACAACATTTGAGTATCATTGAATTTATGTTTCAATGGGACTTCAAACCCACCAGTATACTGATAAGGAACAGTGATTTAAATTAGCCAAAATTACAGGCCAGTTATAATCTTTAATCTGTCAAAACTTCAAGTATTTGCTACATGTTACATTAATGAATGTGGTTTCTTTCCCTCTGTTAATTTGGATAAATTACTAAAAAAAAAAAAATCAAGGCCAATCCCTGATGCCCAAATTCAGAGTGCCTCAGAAGGGACAGGCTAATTTAGGACAGCATGAAGTCGTGTGAAATCTGTCCAAACATGGCTGGTAAATTAATTCTCATGTGATGCAGTGGTTTCCAGATTGGAAAACAACTCCTTACTGAGCCGCTTTTAGCTCACTGTGATCATCCAAACCACAAATGAATATCAGCCTAAAACAGCTCCCTGCTTTAGGAAAGATATGAAACAAACCTGGCAAAGCCTGTGAACAAATTAAGCGACGATGCCACGTGTGCTTGATTTCAACTTTTACCAAACACTTTTTTACACCACAGCCAAACGAGCAAAGCATCAGAGTAAGTAGAAATACTTATGAACTTTGGTAGAAATAGATACTGAAGCTGCTCCATGACCCACAAAAACAATAGGACCATCAGTGACAAGCCATTTTTATATCCTAGTTTTCAGCATCTGAATCTGCTGCAAGAAAGGTGAGTGTCCGGCATGCTGGAGTAACAGCATGCTGGAGTAACTGCCTTTTGTTACATTTTCAACATTAATTGAATCTTTCTGAGATCTCTCGGCATAAAAACACAACCATGAGATGTACAGGACTAAATCAGTGGTGGTAAAATATACTTTTGTTCTCACAGGACGAGCAAAAATCAACTTAAAACCAGCAGTTCCTTGCAGCAACTTTAACCAACATGAGATAGACGTAAAACAAAAAGATTAACACCAACAGCTAAAATAATTACACTTATTCTTATGAATACAAGAGTTTCTAAACATGCACAGTATGGTTGAAATCTGAAAAAAAGCATATTCATGGTTTTCATAATGTTGAATATCTACAACCATGTGATTTGATCTGATTAATCTAACTGTAGAGCTTTAAGATTTAAAAACCTATAACTGAAATATGACATCATAAGATTTTGGCTCTTACATTGTTTCTTTTTCTTTTTCACTTTTTTACTTACTTTTCTTCTCTACTTTTCTTCTCTACTTTTAGTTTGTGTGGGGAGGAGGGGGTGTTTTAATGATCTTGTCACTGAATATAAAAGGAAGCCTGAGGGGGAAAACATCAAGTGGAGACATTAAAGGCTTTCTCTTTCTCTAATTACAGGAAATTAAAGTGAATAAACTGTGTGCTGCAGAGACAGAGCCCCTTCAATGACTAAAGTGGGCCAGAGATGAGTTAGTCACTGTGTTTTTTATTAATCTAACTGTGAGTGGTTTGGGGGATTTTGGGAAAACACAATATTACATAATATACATATCAAGATAATAGAGCAGATTCAGAAAATATCTGTGAGTGTTGCCATCAGACGTGAATATCTACCCTAAAAATTGGCAGCATGCTAAAGATCGAAAGGTTTGGATTTTTATCTCAGGTTAAATGAGTTATGGCACCTTATATCGTTATCTAACTTCCATTTATTACGATAAACAGCCAGATACATTTCTCTAAAGGGATATTTCAGTATATTTTAAGTGAGGTTGAGTTACATGTTGTGTACCAGCCACAATGGATGCCATTCAGCTCTGCACCTTAACAATGTGAAACTATGCAACGCTGAGATGCAAAAATATAAAAATCAACAATTTATTAGCAACTCGAACATCACACACCGGAGTAGCTGATTCCACTGCACACAGAAGAGCACAACTGTGTTGCCTCTGCAAAACAGTGCAAAAACAAAAGGGCTCTCTGATGTTAAAGTAAAGAAAACATTTTCAAAGGAGCATACACTTAAAACCAAGATGAGTTTGGGTCTCTCAAAATGTGTGAATTCAAGAGGCAGGGTGTCTCTTTTCTGCGGAAAACAGTAGCATCCCTGGTGTCCTATTTCAGTAAAGGGGCCAGGCTGACTGCAGTTTTTGTTGATATACTTCTGAGTGACATGCAACTCATACAACTTCACATCAGAAACACACACATACCCCTTTAATGTAGCTCCATTATAACTGTTTCTGTTTTTCAAGTATGAATTTGGTATGTCTTTAAGTGTGTCACCTTTTCATTTGTAAAGCATGTATTTGCAAATGTAGGTCAGACAAAGTAAAACCTTTTCATAGTCTCAGTCCTAACACAGCTAAAACTGAACCTGCACCATTGCTGTATGGAAAAGGGTGACAAAGTTGAAGAAGATGAGTCAATTTGAATTTTTCTTCAGGGATCAATAAAGTTTCTCTTATTCTTCTTCTTCAACAGCTCAGGACTGAAGGTTTATCCAGCGCGCTGCTCACCGGGAGCTCACTGGTTAAGTTTGCCTTGAGTAAAGAACAAAATAGCCCAGACTGCTCCAGTGCAGCTGCTCCCTGCCCACAAACAAGACTATGGTTGTACCAGCCAAACATCTCCTTGATTTGAATGTGGGTTACTGTGCCAAGAGCTGCAGAAAATGAGCACTTGTGCTCAGCATGTCTACTCTGAGACGGTAAAAGTCGAAAAATGAGGAAGGATTCCATTTTAAGGTGATTTTTCCAAGAGTCCGTTCAGGAAGGATAACAAGTAAGTAATTTCTATCCGACACAATCCTCTGGATGAGAAATGATAACAAAGAAATCAATGCTTTAACAGAGCAGGCACTTACAGGTATCTCATTCCCTGCAAACTGATCTTCACGTCATTTGTTTTGCGTTTCTACTCTGGTAAGTGAAACTACAAATGAGCTCAGTGTCTGCGACATGTAAGAGCTCTTTCACAAAGTAACCTGACAGGTGATGGTGCTGTAACACACTGTACAGTTAGTGGATTATGTCTGAGTCAGCAAGAAGTGTTCTCTTACCTGCAACAGGTGAGTCAGCTGTGATCACTGATACCAACACCGTCATCCCCAGAAACAGAGCACGCTGACAGTGAGCGTGCATGAGAGCCTCAAGCATCACCAGCAAACCCACAGAGGAGACTAAACCTGGCATGGTGTGGAGGGGCGGGGGGCAAGGTCACGGCATTTCACCTTGTTATGAAGATTTATTCCAAAGAGAGGGTCGTGTGAATTATTTCAGGCTGTTTGCTTCTTCAGTCAAAGAGTTGATCCATGAAAAGCTCCTGATGGCTGTGGAAACAAAAGAGTGCCAGTGTGAGGCTCAAAACGAAGCAACAATGTTCACTCACACTACTTTATGGTGGCTCTATTAAATGGAAACACACACGGCTACAAGAAACATGAGCAGAGGTACAAAAGCATCGAACAGTAGCACAAACTGTGACAACTGTGATGACTTTAAATAACATGTTCATCTAGAGCAGTGGTCCTCAAGTCCACTGTCCTGCATGTTTTGGATGTTTCCCTGCTCCAACACACCTGATTCAAATGATCAGCTCGTTATCAAGCTCTGTAATGGCTTAATAACTAGCTGATCATTTGACTCAGGTGTGTTGGAGCAGGGAAACATCCAAAACATGCAGGACAGTGGGCCTCGAGGACTGGACTTGAGAACCACTGAAAGACCCTCCTTTAATATATTACTGTATAAAACTAGTCAGTCTTGTTGCTGGTGGTCTTTTGTTTGTCATAAAAAGGCATCAGTAAGAATTTCAGCCAATAAGATTGTCAGAAAACCCCTCACTGGAGCTTTCATGTCTGAAATCACTGGTGGGGCATAGGTGCCAGTCTTGATGATTGAATGCATACAAGCATCTTCAAGTTTTTTAATGGCAAAATTTGTCAGTGGGTCATAGAAAATGGAGGTAGAAATAGAAGTAAAAATAGAAGAGAGTAGGATTTTTCACTAAAAATACAACACCCTGACTAGCAAAGAAACAACAGGTATGACTTTTTCCACATGGGGCTCCAAAACCAAACCAAAAGTTCCTCACAGGAGCTTTAATATATTCGATTTTTACCGTCAATTTAAAAAAAAAAGTCAAATGTAATATGAGTTACCTGTCTGTGCACTTGAACACTAAATTTCCTAAGTAAATATAGTAATAATTCTCCAAAAGTCTAGTTTTATGAGTATTGCTTCATGTGAATTTCACCATATTTTCTTCAAAGAACACATATTGGCAGTATCCCCAAGACTTTAGAAGAATATATCAGATAAAAATAAAATATCTGACTCGATAGTTGACCATAAATCAAAACGTGGGGCGTGCACACAGTTGGTCTGATATGCAGAAACCTCACACACGTTCGCACACATGGAAACCCCAGACTCTTACCGCACAGCAGCCGTAGCATAGATCAGATAAACACATTTAGGGGTTTCTTATTCCTTTACATAACAAAATACTCTCATTTTAGCACTAAACACACAAAGGCAGCGCACACAGACTTCATGTGTCTGCCTCCCGGTCTCATCATGACACAGTGCAGTCTCTTGTCCTACATCCCGTCCCGTTACTTGCAAGTTTGACGGTCATGTGTCTCTCCATACAGCGCCACAAAGCGTGTTACATCCTTTATTTAACGTTACAGCTCAATGCTAAAGCAAGGCTAGCATGCACAGTTAGAAAATCTACCAGAAAGCTGGCTTTAACTGCAAAAACAACACGATATTTCCTCCTCTTTCCCCCCTAGCCATTCCTGTCAGCCTGCTGCTCAGAGCTGCGCATTCACACTTACCAAAAAAACAGGGAGCTCCAACTCTGTCAGCTCCTTTGTCTGGAAATATCCTTCAGAGAAATCAAAAGCTGCGCAGAGCTTCCTCTTTAGCCTCCATAGAGCCTCCACCTGTCTGCCTTTGGAGTTATTTGAGTGGACACGGACTTGGCAGAGCTAGTCGCTGCTTTTCCTCTGACACTCTTTTGGTGGCAGCTACCTTCTCTCGTCCTGAGGATTGGGTTAGTCCCGCCCCCTGGCTGATCTGATTAGTTTCTAATTTATCATAGCGCGCTCTCATTGGCTGCAGCTCTTTTCTGTCCAAGTGGGGGTTTAAAAATTAGGTTGGTTTGCTTCGACTGGCGTCTGCGGCTTCCACGGCAACGTTGACTCATAGGATGATGTACTTGTAAGGTATATACACGGGTGGACATGTTACTGTCAGCCCAGTCAGAGAGCATGTTTTCAGAGGCTTTTGGGGGGATTGTTGTATTTTGTTTTTGCAGAAACAAGATAACTATTGCTTTCTTGTGCAGTTATTAAAGCTATTGGCTATTTTTTAATGCACAAATGCATATTTAATAATGGAAAACGTTTTTGTTTTAAGAGATATCAAAGGAAATTTTACCTATGTCAAAAATCTGATTAAAAATGACTGAAAAACCCTAAACATATGAGCTGAGCTTAATGCTTTTTCTTATCTCCTTCTTAGTATACTCTTTCTACACTACCTTTGTGTTTTTTTAATAATAAAAACATCACTGTCAGCCATTCATTTCTTAGATAGAGTCACTTCATTCTACCTGTAACCCTTAGATAAATCCTACAATATATATTAGGATCCACAGTCTGTTTTTTTCTGCAGATGCATCCCTTCTGGTTGTTGTGGTTATAGCTTTATCATTTGCAAACCCATACATTTATCAGGCTTGATATAAACACAGCTTAACATCCAGTACAGCACAGCAAGGATGCATGTGTTGTTTCTGTGCTTCTGCAGGTTTTCTATCAATTTAAACCGAATGAATTCCTTCCTGGTGCACACTGTATGTATTAAAATGCTGTTCAACAAGCTGCAGTGGTAGAAATAGCAAATACATAATCAAGACAAACAACATGAGTAAGGACAGATTTTCATGCATCAACATTTTGGTGCACAGCGCCATCAAGTGGCACTTTGTAGCATGACTACTTCAGTCTGGTCTTTGTGGACACCCACTCAGCGTTTTTGCACATATTATGCTGCACTGCAGTGTGTGCAACTGTAACAAAGAGAATAAACGGTGGAGTGTCTCTATAAAAAATACCTACATAATTCTAATATAGTATAGTTTAGAGGACAGTAACAAAGAATATTTCTTTATATATATATATATATATAAGTTTTTAGGCACTTCTGCATTAGAGTATTAAAGGTTCATGCAAGTTCATTTCTAGCCCACTCAATTATAATAAACCATAGGATTCATTTGACAGCTAAGTGAAAAAAAAAGGTTTGTATGCGGAGTCTCATTCCAAGTTTTTCTCACACATTAATTGCATTTACTATTCTTTCACGTCTGAGCGTCTTCAAGTCTGTTTGAATGAAAGGAAATACTGTGACAACAACCACCAAATCTTGGGTAAAGCTTTAAGGGACTTGTTCTTCCCAAGTTATAGAAGGAGAAGAAACTAACATGCTGGGGGCCACGAAGCTGTCCTGACTAAGCTGTGTACTTATCTACTTGCCCATGAAAGAAAAAGTGTTTGTGGCTCCTTCAAGCACCTGTAACACAGGCAGACCTAACATCATGTGACTTAAGTGTGAAAGTGGCGTCAACCTCAACTTGATTCAGTGGATCTTTCTAGCTTCATTTCTGACCTGAAGGAACCAGGTGGTCAGATTTAAACGCCCTTTTGTGGGTATCTGTCATCACACATGTACTCCCTAATAACCTGCAATAAATACACAAAGTAATTTTGGTTTCCACAAAGTCAGTAAGGCGGATCCAAATTCAGATGGAGTTCCTGTTGGTGCAGACAAAAGGTGTCATGTCTAGCTCTGTGCTATCTTCCACCAGACTCATTCATGCTTAAAACAAGGTCTCAGTGGAAAAGTGGAGAAGCACAGAATCCAGGGTGTTCAAAGTCCAGTGGGAAGTCTCCACAATTTGTGATGGTTTTAGGAAAACTTCTGTTGATTTAGATTTCTGATTTTAAAAAGCTTTAGTCCATATTCATTAAAATTCAATCAATGAACGATTTGAAAGATTAAATCTTGCTTGAAATGAGCACAGAGTATAATAATAAATATGCTATTGGAGTTAATTGTAGAGGAAAACCAACATTTCTTGTTATTTTTATGTGTCAAGATGCACAATTTAACTTTGTTTTCAAGATTTTTAGTTGAAAAAAAAATTGGGCTAATCTGCAAGCCCTCTCGCACTGCATGTCAAACACAACAACGCACACACAAACAGTAGGAAATAGGAGACTGTGGCCGTGACTTAACAGTTTAATGTAAATCCAAGACAAAGTGTGATTACATTTCTACACATATACAATATGCATATGTGAGCATACAAATTCTCATTAATAACTCGATTCACCTCGGAGACCGAAAAAATGATCAAAAGTAACAGTGAATAACAAGCTATAACATAGTTCACCACAACGCGAGCCCCTTCTCACCCTACAGTTAGTAAAGAGGACAATTAAAATGATAACTCTATTCTTCTATTTGACGAAGCTGCTTGTCTGTTAAAATCCTCCCGTAAAATTTACAATGCTATCATTAGTTTTTTCGAAGCCTAATATAAATTCACTCCATTTTTCTACAACGAAAATGATTAAGAGAAGCACACAACATCATAATGGTAACACAAGCGCTTTAGTAGCAGGTACTCAACTTGTTAGGAGGTTTAATTAATCCTTCTTCTTATTGTTGTTATTATATTTATTTAAACATTCTATAAAGCCTGTAAAATATCCATTCTCATAACATACTCAATAATATTAAGCTAAGGGACAGGGTTTACATCGAACGCTACATCAACAGATTGAAATAATGAGACGGCACACCCCGATAAACAAAAGTAAATAAGAAAAGACGAGAAAAAAAACAGAGGAGTATACTAGAAATACTGCAGCACACGTTAGCTTCATCTATAAAGAATGAGATTTTACACCATACAGCAATGGACACAACAGGAGGTCAGGGTTTGATGCCCTCTTAGGTCTTTACAGGAAGATGAACCTGCACTGGCATGAATTTAGACATGCAATTGCTGTTTTACACTTTGACCTGCAGAAATTTACTGCAAAGGGGCTCATGTAGCTTCAGATGAATATTTCTGCAGCATAAAAAGCCAAATCTGTCTCTTAATTTAGCTTTGG